TTTACGGACATTTGCTAGAGTTTAAATTAGAAGAAGAACAAGTACAAGAAGCAATGATTGCGTGGGGGAAAAATGGATATGGGATTGATCTAGGGAAATGGCAAAAATTGTGGTTTCAAAATTATAAAATGACAATGTCAACTGCATATAAAGAAAATTTGTATAAGATATTTTGCAGGTAGCACTTATCCCCGACGAGAATTGCGAGGATGTTCAAGAATAAATTGGATAAACGTTGGAAATGTCATCAGATACCTGGTTCATATTACCATATGTGGTGGACATGCTCGGATGCAAAAAGATATTGGACTATAATCCACACATGGTTGGAAAAAATGACAAAACAACACATAGACTTTAAACCTGAGATATTTTTATTGGGAATTGTACCGGAAATATATTGTAAAGAATTGAAATATTTGATTGTAAATGTTTTAACAGCGGCTAGAATTGTATTTGCTAAGAATTGGAAAAATGAAAAAAAATACCTATGCAGGAGGAAATTATTAAAAAAATCATGGACTGTGCCAAAATGAGTAAATTGACTTTTGAAATTAGAGAACAAGAGGATAAACAATTTTATATGATATGGGATTTATTTTATCAATGGTTAGATAAAAAGACACGGTAAAGAAATAGATTAGTAAGCCTTACAATAAAAGTTAATGATTGATATAGAATACAATACAAAATATATAACCACTGAATGAATGTATAAGATTAAATCATAATGAAAATTAGAATATCTCGTATAAAATGATGGGAAAATAGTTTAGTCAAATGAATGTTTAATAATTGATATTACATAAGCACAAGCTAGATTGATAAGGTGAGAATTTATATAACTTGTAATGGTAAAAAAAAGGATAGCACAAAAGGTTGTAACCGACACACTGTATCTATATAATTGAAAGAGGGTTTTATGTTTTTATATTTTGTTTGTATGTTTGTTGTACAAAATAAAAAACTTTGTTTAAAAAAAAAAGATAGTTACGAAGAGAAGAACTGATATCATAAAAGGATTGTGCTTTGGGAAATTTAGTGATAAAAGCTGAGACCCTCTTTTCATGTAACCAGAAAAGAATCTTATAACCAGTATAGATTTTATTTCTAGTTCAAAATGTAGATCAGCCAGCTATTGGGTGTACAGCAACTGTAACTTTGGTTCAGAAATGGACAATCCTTTCAGGAATACACTATGTTTGAAGCAATCTACTGTACAAATGTTCTCCATCTTCTGCTTGGTTTACAAAGACTCAGGCCTCAGTGATTATGGAGGAAAATCACCTTATAAAATTCATTTTCTCAGGAGATTGGATCAGCAATAGAAGCTATGTTTGATAACGAGGTTGCTATAAAATGATAAAAAAAGTCTCCACTAATAGCAATGAAAACTCTAAAAATTTAAAATATGGAAATAGGATGAGGATGAAAATCTCATAACGTTTTAACAGAAAACTATCTGAATAAAGAAGTTATGAAAACCTTATTTGCAATTAATTACTTCATTTTGGTTCTTTGCATGGGAAAAAGGTTAATCCAAGCTGTTCTTTCTTCAGCAAAGAAGTATACATTTTTGCAATCAAGCTTATTTTCCAGCCATCCATTTAATAAGCTGAAGATATTTCAGGAGTAATTTAGACAATCTGTCTTTCTGTTCTTCACTGGATCATCAAAGTTGTTGAAGTTCCCAAACATTTCAGAAATTCATTGATTCTTCTGATAGACTTCCTCCGCAAAAATTTTTTCATTAGTTCTATTACATATCTGGGTTTTTAATACCTGCTTTCCTAAAGGATATCTACTCTCTGTAGTGAATATTCATGCAAAATTAACAGGAAATTCCAGGAAGTGCCAGTGCTCTGAGAGAGACAACATGATACTAGATATGTGAAAGATTTTTATGTTTTCTCAATCAATCTGATGACAAGGAAATGTATAATTCTAAGCCTGGGTCCAGAGTAATTTACATGAAAAGTTTTTGATGTCCTTCCAAGGTAAACAGTAAAATTTGAATCGAGAACATTCAAAATAATGCATCTGTGTAGAGTTGGAATATATTATCTGAGCCTTTTGCATTTACCTCCATTTTCAAAATTTCATGTTTTTCCTATCACTAAAAGGCTTATCTAATAAATACCATCTTGGTGCAAAGATTTTGTAGTAGGATAAACAACAACATATAACACGTTACCTTTTAACATAAAAGTACCTAAATAAAAAGAGGTGATTCAATAATGTGGAAACAGTATAAAATATAAATAAACACTCTTGGGCATTCACTATGCATCCTTCATAGTTTGGTTGTTAAAATGGTGACAGATTATGTTGGTAGTGTTCTGCAAAAATAATTACAAATGCATTTTGTTTGTAGAAATTATTTTAAATGTTGTCTTTTCAAAAATTGTATTTCAAAATAAAAGCAAATCATAAAACCAAGTCAGTAGGCAGGCTTCTGAAAAAGATTATGTCCAGGTATATTGCAAAGAAATAAGAACGTTGCGTTTCCTTGTGTATATGTATGAGAAACACTTTGATAGACCACAGGTAAAAGATACATAGTTAATTTTTTTTTTCTTAGTTTTTATCAGACTTTATTTTCCTGGAACAATCAATACATTGGGTTATTTTTCTGTTGGTAGATGCTCTGAGACCAAATGTTATCCATCAGAAATTGATAACATTTGAGAAATATTTTATCACATCCAGCTAATGCTGCTCATCTGCCAAACAGCTTATTTCATAACAGTCAGATGAAGGGGGGAACACATTCAGAGTGGTTATATATGCATGTATATGTACACATATGCATGTATACATATGGAAACACACAAATGAAGTAGTGAGAGGAGAGAAATGTATGCAGTCAACATGAAACAACAGAACCACTCCAGTTCTGATTGATTACATCCTCACCAAATGGTATCAGTACAAATAAGTACAAGGAGGGCAACTGAAAACATTTATTTGGACTTCATAGTGTCTTGAATAAAAAAATGTTTCATGTTGACAATAGACTAAGAAACTTGTTTCCATAATAAGGATTCATCAGTTATTTCTTAATGCCTTTCCATATACAATTCAGTTGGGTATCCTGAAAGGATCCAACTATTACCATTACCATTTGAGTCAATGTCAGACAGTATACTCTTTATTTTCTTGGAGAACTGTTTCAAAAGTGAAATCTAGAAATATCAAACAAATATGTATGTGTGTGAATGGACAGAGGAGGTTCTAAAATTTCCTTGAAAGTTTTTTTATCCAACAAATAAGCAATGGCATAAAAAAACCTTCTGAAACTTTTTTCTTGACTTGGTTGAAAGAGGGAGAATAAACCTACCTTATGGTTCAGTAGCTAGTTCTCGAGCACAATCCAGTTTCACTCCATTAAAGGATAAGTGTTGGCTGTGAACTTCCACATATGATTGAAGAGCTGTAGTAAATCTACTCCTCAATAGCAATTATCCACTTTTTCAGACAGAAGGGCATCAATGTTAAGGACTGCCAATTTGTTGACCGAGTAGGCTTGGATCTTCTAGCCTTCTCGAGGTTGTAAAAATTGCATTTGATCAGAATTTCCCTTCTTCCCCACTCCACAAGTATCTATTGAACTTTCTCTGTAGCAGTTGGCTGCTGTTGGATTTGGTTAGAGGTTTTAGCCATATCAGCTTATCACAACAGCTAACATGAGCCATATAGAAAACTGTATTCAGGTATACCTAAATACCCTTATTTATACCCTTCCAAGAAGCATTTGTGGCTTGTATCAGTGCAACTTTCCACCCTTTCCTGAAAACATTTATTGCCACTTCTGACAAGATGAAACATCTTCCCCCAAAGTAGAAAAGGTATAGCTTCAACAAAATAGAAGTGCTGAGTCACTTGGATTGTGGCAGTAGGTAAATATAATAAATAAAATAAAAACAACATTCTTAGTCTTCAAGCCAAAAAGGATGCCAGAAAGAGTAAAAGGATCAAATATAGTAATTTAGAATTGGTGGAGGTATTATGTTCCAGTGCATCCCTTCCTATTTTACCTTGTAAATTCATGTTTTTAAGAGGAAAGAAAGACACAGATTTCTATCCCCTGACATGATATTTATGATTATAGTAAAGTCAGCTTTGCCTCTGTACTGGGCTGTCAAAAGGAATTCTGCCCTTCAGCCAAGCCAGAAAGCTGAATTGAAACTGGAACTTTCAATTGATGGAATGAGCTCTGTTTTGTGCAGGACTGTGCACTGGTCTAGACTCAAAAATGAAAAGATGATTTGAAACATATGTGACCATGGACATTGCACATCCTCCAATCAAACACATATTTTGCTGGGATTGCATATGGCAGCTCTTTCAAGTCCAGGGAAAGTGCAGCAACTGACAGGTATAACACAAGCACCCACACAAGTTCTGAATTGCTCTTTTTTCTTTGAATGTGAATTGCTGCCCAACTTTAGAAAGAATGAATTATCCCTTTGCTCTTTTCATATGAATAAGCATTCTATGCAAATTCTTCAAAAGCTTAACATTGTGTGTGCAAATTTCTCTGCATAAGCTTCACTGAACACAATGGGATTTATGTCTGAGCATACATGGTTATGTTTGTATGTGTAAGAAATATCCTAATACTTAGAAAAAGATTAGTTACATATAATTTTTATAAAAATGGCTAATGAAACAACCTATTGAACTGCCTTCTATATTGGATATTTAAACATGAATCTCTCAATTCCATCTGAAAATTAACTTCTCAGGCACTAACTTATAGCTTGTATAAGTTTGTAACTTCTATTAATAGAGGACAGAATGTTGATCCCTAGTACTCAAGACTTAAATTTTCCTAAAGAATTCTTAAATATTAATTTATGTATTCAATTCAGTGCTCTTAAAATGACAGAATTAGAGCAGTGACTGGGAATGTGATGGTGAGAAAGCAGACTGATTTCTAGCAAATACAAAATCTGCTATAGATTATAATAAAAAAATGTTGCAGGGGCATTTCCTACCAGTTCGCTCTCTTCTTCTTCTGCATCTTTTTTGTTTTCGTCTTTTTGGTCTTCAATATTTGCGTCAAAATCTTCCATCTCCACCTAAGTCAATATATAATAGCAGGACTGTTATCACTGGAAACCTATTTTGGCCTTAGCTATTTCTGAGAGAATCAAATAAACTATAAATTTAAAATAACACACAAAACCTGAGAATTCACTTAAATGGTTACATATTTCACAGTTGTAACATTTATATTTTCTACAGAGCTATTCTATATTTAAAGTCTTATCCTTTCAAATTTTACACTTTTTAAAAAAGAGGATCAACATGAATAGAATTGTTAGGTTATATATGAGGTTACTGCAATCAGACTTCTGCTTAGGCACTAGGGTTACCTCAATAAAGGATACGCACTGTGAACATGAATGAATCACACTGTGTAAGTGAATAGATACCATTAGATACTATTCACTGGTTAATGGCCATTCTTACGTTTTGGTATAGCAATATGCCACTTACAAAGACTTCACCAAAGATGGAGCTTTAGATATATTGTGTAGAATTAGCATTGAACTGATTTATATTTTATGATGTTTATTCAGAAAATTCATTTTTGGATAGCATATCCTGCACATATATGCACATAAGAATGAAGACTGTACCTTCAAAATTTCTAATTTGAGAAGCTTATCTTATTAAATAATAACTCAGTCTATAATCACTGCATATTAAAACACAATTTCCACCTTTCTAAGTATAATTCTAAGTATAACTTTCTTTTCCAATGCATAATTTAGCATTTTTGCAAATCTCACCTCTTCAATCGCAGCATCTTGTAATAAAGAGCGAATGTCTAAACGTATCATGTGACGCGGTGCTGTCTCCCAATGATCAGCCATCTGAAAATGAAAAATAAAAACTACAGTGTTTATGTAGTATTACACTATCCTTGACTAGGAATACATGGTCTGGGTATAACTAGATTAGTATAATTAAGTGCATGTAGTCCTCGACTTACAACAGTTCATTTAGTGATTGTTCAAAGTTACGACATTGAAAAAAGTGACTTATGACTATTTTTCACACTTATGACCATTTTTCACACTTGTGACCATTGTAGCATCTCCATAGTCTTGAGATTTACATTCAGATGCTTGGAACTGACTTACATTTATGATGGTTGCAGTGTCATGTGATCCCTTTTTGCAACTTTCTGACAAGCAAAGTCAATGGGGAAGCCAATTTCACTTAACAAACATGTCATTAACTTAACAACTGCAGTGATTCACTTAACAAATGTGGCAAGAAAAGTCGTAAAATGGGAGAAAACTCACTTAATGGATTTCTCATTTAGCAACATAAATTTTGGGCTCAATTGTGGTCGTAAGTTGAGAACTACCTGTAATAGAGAGTTCTAGTCCTATGTTTTCAGATTAAAAAGCCTGGTAATACTTGAATTATAGCATAATGTGTGTTATATTCCAAATAAGATCTGGTCCAAATAAAAGAGGAACCAAAGAAGGAAACTTAACAGAAAAACTGACTTCTAAAATAAATTCAATAAATATAAGATCATTTTAAAATTCTTAAAACAAGCTTATTCCTCCACTTCACCCAGTACAGGTAGTCCTCAACTTATGACCACAATTCAACCCAAAATTGATGTTGCTGAGTGAAACATTTCTTAAATGAATTTTGACCCATTTTACCACCTTTCTTGCCACAGTTGTTAAGTGAATCACCATAGTTGCTAAGTTAGCAACACGGTTATTAATTGAATCTGGCTTCCCAATTGATTTTGCTTGTCAGAAGGTCAGAAAAGTTGGTCACATGGCCTCCGGACACTGCAACTATCATAAATATGAACCAGTTGCAAAGCATTCAAATTTTAATCATGTGACCAAGGGGGATGCTGCAGTGGTCATAAGTGTGAAAAAGGTCACAAGTCACTTTTTTTCAGTGCCGTTGTAATTTTGAATGGTCACTAAATGGCTGTTGTAAGTCAAGGACTACCTGTAAACAAATTTTTAGTACTATAATGTTGGAGAAATCTGTTTACAAAGTTACCTTATTGATTTCTTTGAGCTTGCGTCCATGGACATTTCTCTTGCAACAAGTCTGATTATCTGCAGTTATTTCAGCTAAGTAAACCTAAGATACATGACAAAGAAGGAATGTGTTTGAAAATGTATGATCCATGGCAGAAGTATCATTCAATGCATGTTTCATGAACTGAACAAATGTGGCCAGAAAGATGTGAAAAAGAAAAATAATCAATGTCTGGATCAAGTGACTGATTGTCTCATATCTACTTAAAATATTTCTATAATTGCCCATCTTCAAAACCAAGTCTGCTTATAACCAAAAGAAACTATATACAGTCATAGAAATCAACCAACCAACCCAAACAAAACCCGAATAAAACCTGAAATAGAAAAATCTGGTGCCCAAATCATACTTTCTTGATGCAACCCACAGCATTCTCAATCTGCTCTGACCTCACCTAGCCCAGTCTGGGGAAAGTCCCAGATCATAAGTGTAAGGTTAAACAGGCTGGAGTCTATTCAATCTCAAGAAGGATGGCATTCCACAGAGCAGGAGTAGCAACGGGAAGGTACACTTGTGAGAACCCACGAAGTGGCAATATTTAATGGAAGGGACTTGGAGCATGCTTATGCTATCCATTCTGGTGGGAAGGGCAGATACCCTCAATAAGAAATGGTCCCACATATGACCTGGTCCCATGTCATATAGGCCTTTAAAGGTGATAACCAACACCTTGAATTACATCCAGAAAAAACCTGGGAACCAGAACCACAACCAGAAGTGTAATGGACGAAACCGGGAAGGCGCCCACACTGCTGCATTCTGCATCAGTGACTATGATTGCGGTCTCTTGGACCAGGAAAGGATCCAAATGGCATACAAGAGGAACCTATAAAAAAACCTCCCTAACCATGGTTGCTACCATCTCCTTAAGCAGTAGCCGTGAGTCTAGAAGGAATCCCAAATTGTACACCAGCTCTGTCTTCAAAAGTGCCACCCTGTTCAGAATCACAGATGGCATATTGGCAGACACCGGGGGCAGGGGAGAGATTCAAAGCCACTCTGTCTTGCCAGTTTTGAGTTGAAGTTGATTCCTCCCCATCCAGATTCTCACAGTTCAAGGCACTTGGTTATAATTGCAACAGCCTCATCTGCCTGGCCAGAAGCGGAGACATATAATTTAATATCCTTAATGTACTGATAGCAGACTCTATGCCAGCAAATGACCTCACCCAGTGGTTTCATGAAAAAGTTAAAAAAGAGAGAAACCCAAGTCCTGAGCTCCCCTTGTGTTGCAGAGGCCTAGAATATGACCTTTCCTGCACCACCAACGCTGACTGGAACCAGACAGGGCAAAAGGGAAACCACTCTTAGTGTCAAGCCCGGTATTGACATATGTGTAGCCATTTTACTTAGGCTTAATATATATACTTTTTCTTACTTTCTCTTTGGCGGTCATGGGGGAAGGGTTTCAGGCTTGCCACATTCCTAAGGGGGGAGGAGTGGAGATAGAGAGAGTTGTTTAGGCTAGGAGATTCTTCTTCCCATGGGAACCCGAGCTATCTGTGCCTAGGCACTGGAGGTGGACATTTATGACATCAAGCAACGCTGAATTACTTCTATTGGATAATATGACTTTTGGGGGGTTGTTTCTAACTTCTAATATGTGGGGTAATTCCGGGTTGTGTCAGATCCAGAACTACCATGGACTTTGCCAATTTGATGCTTTCTTAAATAAAAGAAATTGTCTTGGAAGATGGACTTTGTGCTTTTCTTTTTAAAATGGATTTCATCACTTGGAAACCTAATATTTAGTCCCTAACATCAGCTTAGAAAGATACCACAATTGCTGGAATCAAAAAAGGGTCAAGACAGTTGTACCATCCCCTCTCTGGACCCAGAAATCATCTATAAATACATCCAGTGCCATTTCAATACTGTGCCCCATCCTGAAAAGCGTTCAGATAATGTGTTTCATCTAGGGCTGCCTGAAGTTGAATACCAACCATCCCCTCAACAACCTTCCTTAAACAGGAAGATTAGAGACTGTAGTACCTCCATTCAGTCATTCAAGAAACTCTTTTTGCTAATGATTGTGCACTCCTGGTGCACAAGAATAGTGATCTACAGTTGATGCCGAACGCATTTTCAGATGTTGCTATGCCCTTCAGCCTATCAGCCTGAAGAGACTGAAATACTTTACCAGCTCATGCCAATTACCAAGCCTATACAACCAAAAATCACTATTACTGACACTCAGCTGATAAATGTAAACAGTTTCAAATATGTGGGATGAATAGTCTCCAGCAATAGGTCTTTCGACAAAGAAATTGACTTCAAAATCAGCAAGGTCAGCCAGGCATTGGGGTGACTGCATACTAGAGTGCTCAATCAATACACAGCAGTATTTCCACAAAGCTGAAAAGTCTACAGGTTACATACACACACATATATGGCAAAAATGTAACTTTTGTCTTACGTCCTGTGCTGCTGTTTGAATTGTGGTCTCTTGCATGCCACTCAAAGGCCAAGTATAAACCTTTACCCAAAGAACATTTATCTCAGAGATACAGAGGAAGGAACCCAGACCTTCCTACACACAAAACACAAATACCATCGCTAGGTTCTGTTTCTTTGTCAGTTCAACATTTACTGGATCTTTGATGTGCTATTTTACAATGACTTATACCTAAATCTAAATCTGCTATTATTGCCTGTCTTAAAAAATATTAATGTTTATGATTCCAAATCACTGGAATGTTTTAGAAATGTTAATAATCACAGAAATTATCTAGGGATGCTTACTTCAAATCCTTTTGTTTTTGCAGCACTCCAGAATTGCTCAAAATGCCGTACTCTATCATTGATGGCATCAAGTATGATGAAGGGGAAAAATCCATCATCCAAAGTCTTCTTGAAAGTTTTAAACAAGCTGGCACGATAGACCTCTTCCATATCAGCTTCATATTCATACTCCAAAATCTGGTCCAAAAAATGGGGAATGTTAGGCAAAGAATCAAGCTTTTTTTATTGAAGATCTTAAATCTTTCTGATGCTAGAAATGAATAACTGATAAAATTTATCAAAATGAAATGAACAAGAATGGGATAGTGCATGTTACTAGCACTCAATTATAAACCCATGTAGCAGTTTTATACAGAGTCCTAAACATCACGGGATAAGACGGTCCCTTAGGAAGCCTAGGGCACAAATGCTGGGTAGGCGATCAATAACAATGACACGTGTAGAAATGGTGGGGCGCAATTCACACCAATTTCCATTTCTTCAGATTATTTAGAAGACTACTATGGTTCTTAGAACTGAAAGATGCCAGCAAGTCAAGGAAAATTAATAGGCTTGTTCTATTCTGACTTCCCCCAGCAAACTTCTCAGTATTTCAAGTCCATTCTGATATTCAAACTTAAAAAAGACCAGGCAGTTCACTAATGAAAATGTTGTTATCGCTTGCTCTAGTACTTTGCCAAAACATAGGAATTAATACTGTTGACAATTAGGAATGGGAGTTAGGATGGGAGCTTAAATTCAAACTCTGGAGAGTGTTGAATTATCTATCTCTGCTTTATTTCAACTTTTTAATTCCCCAGAAAAATTGAGACATTATCTCAAATGCATCACTGCACTAAATCCATCATATTAATTAAGTATAGTTACTGTGATATTCTACACAAGGTGAAATCGTCCATTGGCTTGGAACACAGTATACTAATTCAATCAATACATAGATCCACATCTTATCAGGAAGCGAATAAAAACATATCCAACCGTTTATCTTGCCACAAACATTGCTACTGATTTAATGACAGTCTGGTTCAGGAGAACTGCTGTGCTATTAAACTGATCATTTAAAGAGAATCCAAGGCACTCAAGGTATCCTATCATTATATTTATGTTCCCTGGATTTACATTTTGCTGATTTAATCTTGATTGAACCATCACTAATTCCAAATACAGGTTCAGAATTTTTCCAGCTTAATTGGTATTTTTGAACATTACCGAAGTTTCAAATGATCCTTGTGGACCCTTCCAACTCAATGCTTAAACCTGCTATATTTACTTTGTGTGATTTCAAAACAGAATTTTTGCAGAATTTTAAAGAATTTTGAAAGTGTATAGCCATCTGCTTGTTGCATATTTTTCTCTTCAGATTCATGGAGAGTGGCAGGACCAGTTGAGAGCCATCTCAACCAGTTGAGAGCCATCTCTCTTCTCACATCCTTTTAAAGGAAGGAAAAGGTCTTGATTCATGTGATGACCTGGAAAAGCTTGCTTACAATGTGTGCTATCTTGTATGTTATTCTGAGGCAAAGAGCTAATGTCTGACCAATAAAACACCTATAAGCAATAATTGATAATCAAATATTTTAAAACATCCTGAAAGTAATCAGGGAACCATGAAGAATAGAAACTATTCTGCAAAGCCTTCTAAAACTCATCTGATTCTAAATGAACCAACTGTATTTTCCTTAACTCAGAAAATACAGATTAAATTGTACAATAAGAGATAACATCAATTTAATGACACATAAAGATTTGTTTAATTGAAAAAGTTGTCAACTCTGCATTCCCAGATCATAATCTATTTTTTTTTCTAAAATAGAATGTAGATTAGGAGAGTTTCTTGGCTGTTGGCCAGTTTTCATTTTTGTAGGCAATTAGTTACAATAATTTAATTAATAATTGGAATATACATTAAGAATACCTTCTTTTTTACTCTCTTCTTTGTGTCTGGATCTCTCTCTTCTTTTTCTATTTCAGTGATAAAATAGTCATCCAGGCTGAGGACTCTGGGTGCAGCTCCCCCACATTCCACTTCTTTATCCTAAGAAGAAAAAATAAAGAAAAAATCCCAAAACCTATACCATCAAAGCTAAATTTTCATCCAATTTTTAAGAAAACATTCTATTTCCATATATTCAGTTCAATTAATCCAGTTGTTATCTACGATAGGTCAGGAAAAAAAAGTTACACAAGGTAATCTTAAATAATATGTATGGTGCAAAATCTAAAACAACAACTTCCCTTCCCTCTCCTGTAGGTAGGTAAAGAAATGAAACTTTGACTGGGAGAAAAGAGATAAAACAAGTGACTGGAACAATTCAATTCTACTCTATTCTTCAGTACAAACTGAAGACAAAGAAAACGATTATCCACTTACCCTGATGAGCTTAGCAACATGAGTCTTTCCACTGCCTGGCAATCCTCGCATGATTATGACAATCTAAAACAGAGACCATACACTTTAAATAATGCACTTCTATTAAGCTGAATAACAAGGATTCAGCAGACCAAGTAATTTTTATGATTGCAGCCTGGCAAGCTATAGCTAGTTCTCACTTAACTATGGTAAGCGGGACAAGGAACTTTGTTATAAGCAACACCATTATAAAGTGCAGTGCCACGTAACTACATTGTTATAAAAAAGCAGATGTGGCAGTCCCAGTTGCCATCGTTAAGTGAATCTTGCGTAGTTAGTGCCACATAGTCATGTAATTGCCATTTGCGACCACCTGCCAGATTCCACATTGACTTTGCTTGTTCAAAGTTGGAAGTGAAAGTTGCAAATGGTGATTGCATGACCATGGAGATGGTGTGACCATAGTAATTGTGAACTGGTTGCCAAGCACCTGAATAACTATTATATGATCCTGGGATGCTGCGACAGCTGCAACAATGTTTGTTAAGTCGTTCAGTAACTTTGAACTGTTACTGAATGGGGTCAAAATCTCTGCAGACCCGTAAAGATTCACAAAATGAAACCCCCATGACATTATTTGTAGCAATAATGGACTAGATTTCAGATTTGGCATGATATAACTCACTCACCACTCACATTTTCCTCCCCGCAGAGTCCAGGATCAAAATAATACTGAAGGAAACCAGTTATAACCTAAATAATTCTGGATACTATAATTATAGTTTAAGCAGAAAATGATTTTTTTTAAAAAAAAATAAGTAGTTCAGACCCAGATTAGAACAAGAAAGGATATTACAGAATGGAAAAGGAACTTTGGAAATCAGCATACTGTTGGAATAACAAAACTATTGGCATATGTAGGAGTCCACATGCACGAATTGCTCTCTCTTCACATCAACCTTTTACTGTAATTGTAATCCTCCCTGATAGCTAGGTATACAAGATTCAATAATTGAATTCATAGAAAACCATCTGCTGAGAAAATTCTATGACAACATAATTGTACAATTGTAGACTTAGGCATGCAGCAAAGACTTTTGAAGGAAGCCACGAGTGCTTTGGAAAGCACTGCTTCATAAATATTAATGGAAGTATGAAATTCCTTACACATAATTGTTACCTCATATTAGAAACCTGGAGACATAGTACTTACCCGTTCTGGTCTACTTTCCCGTCCAGGCTGCTTCAATATATCATCCACATTTTTTGATTCTGGTTTTCTTTCTACCCGTGGGGCAGGTGGTGGTTGTCGTGGTATTGTTGGAGCAGAAATAGGAATTCTATCCTCAGCATAATTTCTCCGATCACCTTTTAATGAAATTTACATGAGAGAAGAGGGAAAGAAGTCAGACACATAAATACTAATAGACAAGACATTTGGGAGTAATGGCTATCCCCCTCCCTTCCAATTGGCCTTTTCAATTGTATTTTTAATTCGTTTATTATTTTTAATTGTTACAAACAACTCATTGTGTGAACAGTGTGGTCCCAGAGTGGTTTACATTTTAAAAACAAATATGACACTAATTTTACATTAATATTGATTTTCTTATATAATTTTATATTAATACATTTTATCAGTCTTAATTTTAATCCTTCAATATTCCCATTTTGTGTCAATCTCTACATCCTTAAGATCCCTTTTGTTATAAATTCTGTATTACTTGTCATATCTGCAATATTTAACAATTTGTATAATTCACACAGTCATTCATTAGTCCTTGTTTAATTTATATTTCAATTATTTCTCCTTTTAATTCTTAATGTTGCCACCATTGCACTTTAAGCAAAATCTTTTCCTAGTCCCATTTATACTAAAGCAAACCATATTCAAACATTTAACCTATTGTTTAATTCTAATAACGCTATAATTATTTTTATCTATTATTATATTTCACTATCCTATATTTTTTTTGTTCTAATCTATCGGGTTCCACATGTCATTTCTTTTACTACCTTATAATATTATTTTTCATATTTACTATAGTTCACAATTATACTGTATACCTTTGATAATAATCTTATTTCCAAACATTAAGTTCATGTTTATTACAATTTATCATATTAGTTTTCATGTTTATTATAGTTGAGAATTGTATATCTTTAATGCCAGTTCTCTTGCAAAATATTAATTTCATATTTAACAATTAACAATTTTATATCGTAAATAATAGAATAATAGATTCATGTGGAACCTTTATCTTTTCTGTATCAGTCATCGGTCTCTTGCTCTCAGTAAAGCTTTAACTGATCGTTTCCTAGTTTGTCTCTCAGTTTCTTTCATTTTTTGTCCTTTCCTCTTACTCCTTCCTTCCTCCTCTATTATATTCCATTGTTTCTCTTTCCAGTTATTTAATTTAATCCCTGTCCTCTCAAAATATTTTCTCTGAAATTCCATTTCCTGTTGCCTTATCTTTAACACATCCCCTTGGTTTATCTCATCAATCATTTTCATATTAATTTTTATTTTGTTATTTTTTTCTTTTTATTTGTTGCTTCATCTGTTCCGTTTCTCTGATTGTGCTTCTAGTTAGCTCCTCCTCTTCCAGGATTTCTCCTTTTCCCTCTACTGCTTGTATCAGGTGTGCTGTCTCTGATTGTGTCTCCACTTCCAGCTTTTCTATTTTATTCAAAATATCCTCAAATCCTATGTTCATAATATCCTTCATGACCTGTAACTCCAACACCAATTCTCTACATATTCCACTTATCTTTATTCTTGTTTATTCTTTATCCAATTGTCCAAGAATAATCCCAGCCTCAGCTGTAAGTCAGTGTCCAGAAATAATTAAGACTCAAAGTTAATCTATCTGCTTCTTTTATGTAATCCAAGGATGATATAAATTTCTCCACCAAAAATTTGGGAATTTGTTGTTTTTCTTTGACAGCAGGCGGCGCTCTTAAATCAGTTTTCACTTTGTCGTCTTTTAAATTAACCAATTTTCATTATAATCCAAATCTTTCAAAAATGAGTGCTATATTTGTTTTTATATATGTTCCAGCATTTTTATAAATGCCTATCCAAAGCCAGTGTCTATCCAATCTCAAAATCCAGTTTTATATTTTTAACAAATTTGCTGTTTTCCTTCTTCACTTTCTTCTGTTTTTAGAATATTAACTTTAGTATATTATTTTAAAATATTAACGTTTTGCTCTCGTAGTTAGGTCACAGCCATTTAATATATTTATGAGTCCACTTTTCTAAATATTCTTCTTAGGGTTCTATTTTGAAATAAAAAGGATAGTTCTCACCCAGTTCCACACTGTTACTAACTCCACTCCTGAATTTTGCTTGGATGTTAAACAGACACCGACTTTGTCGCAGCTATCTTGGCTGCTTCTTCTCTACGACATGGCAGAGAGCAATAGCCTGGGGCTCTTCAGGGAAACTGCGTTTTCCTGTGGGACCTCACAAGGCACTTCTCTTTGGCTTCACCTCCCCTCCAGGAAGGTTTTGGCTTCCTCGAATATGCAGAAGCCAGCGCAAGGGACAGAGAGCTCCTTTTCCCTGCTGCGGTGTCGCCGGCGAGATCACTTCCTCCACTTGTATTTGTTAAGCAACATCAACTGAATTAACATTTCTAGCTTCATTCTAACTTACTAATTTTCTATTCCAATTCTCAATGATTTTAAAATTATACCTCCAAACATGGAAGGCCCATGATCATAAGGAGGACGATCAGGCTTCCGCTCATATGACTGTCTTTCAAATCCTCCCCTTCTTGAGACTGAATGATCTTTGTCACGGTAAGACTGATTTCTTGAAGGAGATGGCCTGTTAAATGGAGAAAGCACTCATGTGAATTTATTTATTTATTTTAAAGACTTTGTACTCATTTTATGTGCCAACACTTAGGATGGCTAATAAAACTGATCCATCCATCCATTACAAATTAGGATTTTATTCTTATTTATAACATGATTTTTATTTATACAGACTGACCATATAAAAAGCACATCAATAACCACTATGAAGGCATGTTTTCTTATTTAAGTACTTCTGTTTTACATACCTGTCTTCTCGTGGGTATCGTTCTTTGTCAAATCGTTCCCGATCATGATCTCCAGAAATCCGTTCTCTGTATGGTTCTCGTTCCCTCCTGAAATCCCTGTGGTCTGGGTTGGAATTATTTTGTCGTTCAAAATAATTCTCTCTCTCCTTGATGTATCGATCCCGCTGGCCTAAGTGTTCTGGGGAAAAAAAAGTCAAAATAATTGTTAAGCCTCATAATAAAAGAAATTTTTGAGCTGAACCAGATCACAAGTAAAAGAATCACATCAGGAAAAGTTGAACCGACTACAGGTAGTCCTCGACGTACAACCGCAATTAAACCCAACATTTCTGTTGCTAAGTGAGACATGAATTTTGCCCCATTTTACCACTTTGCCACAGTTGTTAAATGAATCATTGCAGTCAGTTTAGTAACATGGTTGTTAAGTAAATGTGGCTTTTCCCCACTGACTTTGCTTGTCAAAAGCTTGCAAAAACTGCACACGCCCCAGGATACTGCAACCATCATAAATATGAATCAGTTGCTAAGCATCTGAATTTTGATCATGTGACCATGGGGCTGCAATGGTCGTGTGAAAAATGGACATATTACTCTTTTCAGGGACATCGTAACTTTAAACTGTTTTAAGTCAAGGATTATCTATATTTCCTTCCATATGATAATTTTACATATAAAAGAGAATCTCATTCTGCACACTATTATTTAAAATATTCCAAAGCATTTAAGTTATTGTATCACAAAGAGAAAAATACAGTTCATCTTAAACAGAAAGCTACTAAATATAAAACAAATTTATTTTTTCTCAAAGAGATATTTCTGTGACCATAAAGATAAACCCACCTTTTGAAAAGGGTTGCCTTTCATGAGGTTCTGGATGTAGAGTTATTCGCTCTCCGTACGGAATTTGTTGTCCACTTTTACTGATAGTTATATCTGTTAAACACAAATTGATAATAATTAAAGACCCTGACAGTGTCAAAATAATTTGGCTTTGATGAATTGTGTATGATCAACATACTGATATCTCTCTTCAAACTGGTAGATTTTCCCAGAGAAAGGGTTAAGTATTGCGGTATAATGGAATTTCCCATGCTTTGCAAATACTAATGCAACTGCTTGCTCATATAGGAGTACATTCACCACTATATCTGATCTCCAGACTTCACAAGCAATCCAGAAAGATCAATAATATCAAAGGCCACTAAGAGATTTAACAGAACAAGCATAGACATATTCACTCCTTTCAAATCCCAGTACGAGGCCTCCATGAGGAAGACCCATGCGATTTTAATCCCCTAGTCAGGCCCGAGGTTTAAATCTGCTTCTTCCAGAGTATTTATAGTTATTATTCCACAACCTCTTCTACAACTTTCCCCCCAAAGGTGAGAGTGGGAATACAACAGCTGTCCAACACTAAGAGAACTAGGACAGGCTTCTTTAGAAAGCTCCTTAATGTTTTATTAAGTGGCAATCAGAACATTAGCAGCATTCACCTTGTCCATGGCCGTGTCCATGTCCATAGTCAACAGTCTGATGAATAATTGGTGGCTTGGCATGGGGTGCCAAATGGGATGCTGAGATTGTTGATGAAGGCAATGAAGAATCCGATGTAGGTAAGTCATAGTCTAATTTCAACCCTTTATCCTCAGTACTGTCCCAAAGTCCCTGGAAAGAGTCCTCATCCCAACGTTCTTCATCCATATCAGTTGATGTCTTTACCATGGGAACTGAAACCTGAGCTGTTGCTGCAGTTGAAATGGAAATTGGAATATTTGACTGTAATGGTAGAGCAGGTGGCTTTCCTGTTGGGATAGGAACCTTTGCAGCTGAAACAGGAGGTCTTGTCACTGGAGAAGATTTTATAGGAGGTGGCTTAGTGGTTGGAGCAGGTTTCCGAAACAAGACAGGGGGCTTTGTAATTACAGCTGGAGTAAGCTTATTAGTTTGTTCCTCTGCTGTCATTTTACCTTGCATTTCAGAAGAGGCCTACATAATGGGACAAGTGAAAATAAATGTATAAAATAATCATTATATCAACATTATCAGCTATGATTTTTTTTTGCATACCATAAGAAACCATGGGATTCCATGCTTCTCCTTTTCCTCTCCAATAGGGCCAAGTTGGGAAGTTTTCACTTTTAGTCTAATCATGGACTGCTGGGATTCATTGACCAAAACTAAGAGGAAATTGATTTTGATTGACTGACATTGGTTATTTTAAAAAATTTGATCTGAAACAGTGTTTTTTTAAGGTAATGTTTTAAATTAATTGTAGGCTCATATCCAGATATTCAACAAGCAACAAATCAAACTTGGTCAAATTTCTAAACCTGGATTGCCAGAAGAAGAGAGATGGCAATGCACAACTCCAGTATTCATTGTGATTGTTCCTATTTATGCAATCTCACTAGGCTAAATGATGGCGGCTAGCATGACAAACTATTTTCCATCATTCCCAGCCAGCATAACTACAATTTTGGGGAAGGCTATATGAAGCTATTGCTAAGAATGATATGACATATATAGGGAATCAATATTGTACTCTATGTGCCTTGATCCTTTTCTAAAGTGTGTACTTTTTGTAGATGTTCAGTGTTAAAAATGGTACAAAACAAACATAAATTAGGACATATTTAAAAATGTTATTATTTATAAACATCTAAGCTAGCAAATTTAAAAGAGATGGACTAATAACTGGCAGGCTGTAAGTTCTAACCTTGCCTTAGACATGTAACTAGGTGGGTAACTTTGGATCAGTCACTTTCTCTCATACTTGGGAAAAAGGCAATGGCTAGGCTAACCACTTCCAAAAATCTTTTGACCTACCTGTTTACACAGATACCAACAATCAAGACCAACTTGAAGGCACAAAAATAAAACAAAATCAAATACACATCTCTCTTTTGGAACAGCATCTCTCTGAAATTCAGATGGGCAAGTACTGGCCTTTGCTAAGGCCATGAACACCTGAGTTTTCTGTGAACACGGAGCCAGAGTATAAAATCAATTTATCCTGAAATGGTTTGGAGGATGCTTGTTTGGGAGCCAATTTGGTCTAATAGTTAAGGCACCAAACTAAAAACCAGGAAACTATGAATTCTAGTCCTGTCTTTGTCATGTATTTCAGCTGAAAGATTTTGGATCAATTAAACTCTTTCAGCCAAACTTACCTCATAGGGTTATTGTTGTGGGGTAAGTAGGAGGAGGAAGAAATGTTAGGTGTGTTCACCTCCTTGAGTTATTTATAAAAATGATAAGGCAGGTTAAATAAATAAATGTTAATATGATTTTGAGTTAGCCTTAGTTTTTCTGTATGTGGTTTTTATATTTAATAGATATTTTGTGTTTTGTACATATGCATATACATAACACCTTTTTTATTAGTAACAAGAGTCACATTGGGCCATAGTAATCTTCCTATGTCTCAGTGTTATGGTCAAGAGTTTTATTGCAAGTAGCTTCATGTAAACCATCTATGTGGTAAAAAACAAAACCAATTGTTTGTTTCTGCCTATCAGCTATCAGAATCAAGATTAATTCTAACTTTGCTTATACAAATCAATGCTTTGAACTGCTGAATTATGATTTCTTCTTTCCCATATAAAGACATATAAAAATTAATTCACAATTCTCTGGAGTATCAAGGACTTAAACACATATAACATGTGCCGCCTCTAACCGTATATCAATCACAAACAATATGTAGCATGGATAACTACTATTTTATACATCCAGAATTATCTTTTTGGGTCATTCAGATTATATTATTTTAAACTTAATTAAAAAAACCTGGAATGACTGCAAGTTTCAAGGGTAAAGTCATAACCCAAAATCTAAATTCACCCACCCTAGTGGCAGCTGAATTGGTGTCCAGAAGTTATGCAGGATTTGAGCTAACAAAATTCAAGAGAAATGGAGGTACTGGAATTTGGGATGTTTCTGTTGGTGGAAACATGGAATCACCTGCTCTTCAGTACTTAAGCCAAAATAATAGAGATGTTTGACCTACAGTCAGCTGGGTGTTTTCCTCACATATCAGTAACAATCATCCATGCTGGGATGAATTTATTGATTGGTTCTTTCAACATGCATTTATATTTAAGCCTATAAAGATGAAAAATACATTCTAAAATGATAAAACTTGTTTTTAATAATTAAGTAGAATTGAGCTGACTCCAGGTGACTTCATGGAGAATTCCATGCAGTTTATTTGGCAACAGTATGGAAATGGTTTGCTACTCCCTTTTCTGGTATGTGTTACCTTCGGTATTCTCTAATAATTTCTCATCTATGCCTGACCTTACTTTCTTTCCAAGTCCAGACAAAACCAACTTGGTTCTGCCATCTACTAAAGACTTTTTCAAAAAATATCATGCCAAACACTATCTTTTAGAAAGCAGATTTTGAACCTCATAATAAAACACATAATAATTTCTGTGTCTGGTACTTTATAATATATACCTGTGTCATTTTTATTATATATTTTGTTGACTATCATTTATCCTATTTTGTGTTTCTTTTTCAAATGAAAAAGAAATACATTTTATACTTATAAATTTTTTAGGGAAACCAAAAAGGAACAAAATGTTACATGGCATTTCCTGCTTTGTAATTAAAGATTACTGTTGTAATACTAATGAATTGTGACTTTTGATACAGCAAAACATGAAAACATAGTGAAGTCCACTGACTCTCTCATTGCCATATCTTCAAAATTCATTCTCAGTGGACAGATGTTTCAGTGGAACAATTTATAATAGCATTAGGACATTAGAACATTTGTTTTTACACAAATGCTATACGACAAAATTCTAACAGAAAATGAAACACATCCTTTTTATGAATCAAGATTTGAAAATCTCCTTTAGTATATCCACATTAGAATCAAAAACTGCTAAGCAGCCAAACAAATAATAAGGAATTATTTCTGTCAAATATATAAGGCCATTCAGGTTTCATGCTTTGTTTTGATTTGTTGTTAAAGTTTTCATTTAGCAACTACCTTGGTTAGTGACCATTTGCATATATGACAGCAATAAAACACTCATTTTCCAACCAATGCACACATGTAGGACCAAATTTTGCCCTCTTGACAACAAATGCTGACAACAGATGGAGTATTGCTTGTGTAGTTGTATGAGACAATTTAATCTGAATAAGATGGTAACATCCAGTGATCTTTGTGGCAATCACATATTCTGTTAGCAACCATTCTGCTAAATGACCTGGTTATCGGAATGGAACTTGGTTGCTAAATGAGGAACGGATATATGTGCTTGTAATATTTTAAAATAATTTAGGACATTTTGTAAATTATCCTGAGGATATTTTTATAGGAAAACCAGACTATAAGTGCTTTTTAAAACATAAAGTCTATTTGAAAGCCATTTATAAGTAATATTTTAATTTACCTGAAAGTTATCTTTCCTAGCAGATGTACTTCGTAACCTGGACATTTCTTGTCGTGGAAGTTCAGACATTTGTGCACTAGGAACAAATTCATTCATCTTCTGCATATGTTCTTTTTGTTCTCTATAATCGGAAAAGCATATTGTTTGTCTTAGATGGTCTTTTTAAGATATAAACATAAACATTTTTAGTTGTGGAATAAACATTGTGGAATGCAGCCTCCAGAAGACCTTCCAACTTCAGGCCCTATCAGGTAATAAATTAAAAAGAGCAATTCCTAAAAAGTGAACCTGAAATCTTTAAATGTGACTCGCCCCCATAACAGCTCTAAAAGTATATTATACCACCTATTCAAGAATAGCATGATGGATAGCATTGATATACTTATATAATTACATAAGTTAAGCAGGAGTAGTTAAACAAAGCAAAAGCAGACTTCTAATATTTATTTACTGCACAAATCTTTTAAGATACTGGATCTAAAGATATAATTGACAGGTATGAGAAAAAACTCTCTTGGAAGAACTATTATTTGGTAGCCTTCCTCAGAATTATCTCAGCTTACTTTTCAAATGTTTTTATGGAATTTGTTGATAGAACTGCATTCATAAAGAAAGCCTGTATGAATGATTCTGTAAATTTTCTAGATCTTTGTTCCCTAATGCACTTTGAGATTACAAGGTAAGATTTTTTTCTTCATCATTACAATTAAAAAACTATCACTACCAGACTATGTTATTTGAACTATTTTATCATACACTTCTTGTGCTTATATATTTAATGGATGGTCCAAATTAAGACAAAGATTAACTCCTTTAGCTTAAGAGATATAGTATACTATTTCAAGTGGTTATTTCAATGGATTCAAAAGGAAGCTCAACTTTTACAATAAAGTGCCTTTTCATTTAAAGTGATTAAAAGATGTATCACTATATTTTTAAAGCACTTTGTAATTTATACAAAAAGAAGACTGAGAAAAATATAATTATTCTAAAATAAGACAAGAAAAAAAATCAACTCACCGTATCATCTTTAGTTCTTGGGCAGCCTTCAAGATTATTTCATGTTGCCTTTGACTAAGAACCATTACTCCTCCTAACGACTGATCAGAAGCTAAATTTGGTTCTTCTTCCAACAATTCAGATGAGCGTGGTAACATGGGGGGTGGATCCAGACAATTGTCTAAAGATGTAAATCTATCCATTTCATCAGGATACCACCGCTCTGAAAACCTTTCTCTTTCCCAATCTCCTCTGTCAGGAGGTAAATCAGACTGTTCTCTCCATGTGTCATGTCTTTCTGGATATTCACGAATTCTAATCCCCCCAATGTCTCTAGAATCTCTGTTGTAGAAATCTCTGTCTCTCTCTTCTAACCATCTGTCCTCATGATATCTATCTACTGGAGGAAGTGGAGGCAGAGGTGGCAAAGGAGGTAGAGGCGGTATGTCCATATCACAATTCAATGTATCTCTGTCCCCCGATGATCTGATATAATCCCTATCCCAGTCTCTTTCCAATTCACGATCATACACATCCAAGGGTTTTCTGATCCTGCTAAGATCCCTGTCTCCCTCTCTGTCTCTACTCAATGGTCTTTCCCAATCATCCCAAAATGGTTCTCGATCCACCAAAGGAGGTAAAGGAGGAAGAGGGGGAAGTGGGGAAAGAGGGGGTAAGGGATGACGTTGTGGTACCCCCTCATCTCTCTCATATGGATCAAGGGAATCATCAAACCTCTCGTCTCGATCGTGCCAACATCTATCTCTTTCCCAATCATCTAATCGTCTGTGTTCTAAAGGAGGAATATCTCTGTAGTCAAATGAATGGCCCTCTTCTCTGCTTTGCTCTTCATAATTCCATGGAGGCCTTGGTGGTTCTTCACAAAATGATGATAAATTTTCAACATTTCCTCCAAATCCTGTATCACGTCTGTGTAGATCCTGCTCCCGATTGCTAGGCCTTCTAATTGGTTCTCTTTCCCGACCATTACCTTGTCTATCTGTGTCCCTCTCTCTATTAGTAGGTTGTCGACCTGGGGCTTTCTCCCTGCTTCCAATTTGCCAGTCCAATCCTCGCTCCTGACTGCTGGGAGGCCTGATTTTACCACTTTCCTGGCTATTTGCTTGGATTCTTTCCCTGCTGCTCATCCGAGGAGCTGGTAACCCTCTTTCCTGGCTGTTTGATTGCCTGCCCAGTTTTCTTTCCTGGTTACCTCCCTGCCTACCCATCCCAGATTCCCAGTTACTTAACTGACCTTCTGGAAGCTTGTCATGGGTTCCTAGCCCGCTGCTTATATCTCTACCAACACCATCCCTTGATTGACCTCTCCCTCTATTTGCTTTTCCCTTTCCTCTCATGTCTTCTAATCGGCCCCGTCCTCTGCCTCTAGTATCTTCCATTCTATATTGGCCTCTGCCTCTGCCTCTGCCAGCTGGCCCTATTCCCTGGTTATCTCCTGGCTTCATTTGTCCCTTCTCCCTCTTTTCTAGTTTAGAGGATTCCTTATTCTGATTATTGTCTGGAGAAACCAGTTTATTTTTTGTAGCGTTCATATCTTTATTTCCTTTGATTGATGGTGGTGGTAATGTTTTCTTCCCTCCTGTTGTTTGAGGAATATTAGAAACTGGTATCTGATGCAGACTTGTGGACGTGCAAGGAGTTTTGGATACTTCTGCGTGTAATCCGGAATCTGTGGAACTTGATTTCTTTATTTCTGACATTGCTTCTATGGCATCCTTCCTGGATGTAGTTTGCTGTACATTAGGCAGACCCTTATCCGGCTGAACTGGGCCAGAAACTTTTACATCAGACATAAATTTAGATTTATTGACAGTATCAATATGTAGTTCTTTATTTTCTCCTTGATGGTTTGGTTGTCCCTGCCACCATGGTCCACTTGCTTGAGAAGAAGACTGTATGTGTGATGTTCCCAAAGGAGCGTAAAATGCTGCTGCTGGCCCTCGAGGGATTGTCCCCTGTTTTCCTGAAGATCCATCTATGTGCTGATTCTGAAGTCTTGCCCTTGGACCTTCTACACGTTGGCCCTGAAAATGAGCACCTTTTTGCCTTTGAGGCTCAACACCTCTTCCCCGTGGTCCATCTAATCTGTGGGATTAGACAGAATGTTTTATTCAGTTAATAGCTTTGGTGAAGCCTTTCTGTAAAACAATTCTCCTGGTCGTAGAAATAAATATATAATTTAAATTAAGTACTGTATAAAACAGTGCACGCTTACTATATTAAGTGAGAAAACCATAGGAGTATTGGATGGTGGGGGGAAATTAACTTTGTTATTAACTGCTTAGCTCTCCTTTTCCCCATTATTCACTGCAGAAATAGTTTGCTCTACCTTGACATTCTTCCCACTGGGAATATTGGCTTTCTTATGACTTAAATCATAAGAATAGACTAAAGTTCCAGTTCAGTTTGTTTATTGATTAAAGCAACTACAGTATATTAAATATAATAGGGCAAACTACAGCAATGAAATAATCAGATAAGATCATCTTCTGGGTAGTTGATCCCAATCTGATCATGGTAGGAAGTTCTCAGTTGGATGGCTTTAGCCAGCTATAAGCCTGGTAGTCTTTTTATTTTTTTAACTACCTATGTGTTTGTATCTTGGAGAAGGTCATATAGGCTATTGATTGGCCCCAATGAGCTATCAATGACTTTTAAAGCTGTGCTGTGGTTAAAGCATATAGTTGGCAGTCAAAGAAGACATGAGTAATGACCTCTCTCATATATACATATTTTCTCTGAATAAGGTACTTGATGACGCTACCCTATGTTTTATCATACAATCCAGAAACTCAAATCTTGCTCTGATTAGGGCTGCTCTGTGTCAGGCCCATAATTTGATGTATTTTTCTAATTGAAAAGGGTTTTTTTCCTCAGCCAGCCAGCCACAACTGTCTCTATGTCAACTTGAGCACTAAAGTATACTGGGAAATAGGCATATTTCATTGTTTCTTAGATAAAGGTTTTTAAATAATTTTCATTTGGAATTCCAAATTGATTTTTCATAGAACATTTCCCCTCCTTGTCATAATGTTAATCTAATAATATATTATAAATCATATCTATATCGTATACAATTTACAATACACTACTCCGCACCTGATAGTGGAGGTAAGATAAAAATGTATTAAAGATAAAATTTGTGGCACAAGAATGAAATGATCACTCCAGGGATTTGATATTTGAATAAATATTTGTAAAAACATTACTTTATGTATTAGTTATTCTATCAGATAACATGGCAAAATACTTAAAGACATCAAATTTAAATACAAACCTCTTTAATGTAATGAAACCAGAAAGTACTTGAAATGACTGTATAGTATTTCTGATTAATCAAATGTTTCTGGCCACTAATTTAAATAAGAGGGGACTTATAACAAATATTGCTGGAAGTTGTTTCTGAGGCAGCCTTTATATTTGGTTTGCTAGTATTCCAACTGCAAGATGCTTTGGAGCATCTGATATAATACATCAGCTTCAGTTCTATAGTTAGCATTGTGAATTTATGTACTCTTCTATACAGGTAGTTCTACAACAGTTTGTTTAGTGACTATTCAAAGTTACATCATTGAAAAAAATGAGTTATCACCATTTTGCACATTTACCACTAATGCTGCAATCCCAGGGTCATGTGATCAAAATTCAGATGCTTGACAACTGACACATGACGGTTGCAGTGTCCAGGGCTCATGTGATCTCATTTGTGACCTCTGGACAAGCAAAGTCAATGGGGAAGCCAGATTTACTTTACAAAGCAGTGATTCACTTAACAACGGTAGCAAAAAATTGTAAAATGGGGCAAAGCCCACTTAACAAATGTCTGACTTAGCAACAGAAATTGAGTTTGTAAATTGAGGAATACCTGAATACCCTAAGTGTAAATATGGGCTATCTGGCTGTATAGTTTCTGTTTTATTTCTGCATTATTTGGGATTCTTTCTTCTGGATTGTTTATGAAATCATTTTGGCTACAAAAATGTTGACAACTTTTTGAGATTACTGACTGTTGCTTCAATCCCATGCACACAGACCAGATCCTCAGCTTTGCAAGCAACCACCAGTGGTGGACTTCAAATAATTTAACAACCAGTTCTCTGCCCAGTTGCTGGGTGGGCATGACTTAGTTGGCCTCCTGCACCATCCTGGGAGTGAAAATGGGCTGTGGAGGGCCTGTTTTCCACCTCCCTGGACTCCACATGCCCCCTGCACTTACCTGGGATCCAAAATGGGCCGTGTGGGGATTTTGGGAGGGGCAGGGCCAGCCTGTCATTGGAACTACTAGTTCGCTGAACCGGATGTAAAATTAATATCTGGTTCACTTGAACCGGCCCAAACCGGCTGAAGCCCACCCTTGCAACTGCCTCACTACGTACAACAGCAGCTGTGTCCAGACCTTCTTCAGAAGGGCGACACACTTTAGTACCACAACACTAAGAAAAGCGGAAAACTTCATATTCTGACACACAGCACCCAAACCACAACACACTACACAGCTAACAAGCATGCAAAAGCTAATCTTACCATACACAAAAGGGGTGTCGGAAATGACAGCCAGAATCCTCCAACGCCTAGGAATAGCAATAGCCCTCAAACCCACAGCCACACTCTGCCAGGAATTATCCAGAACCAAAGACAAGATACAGAAAGATGAAAGAAACAATATAATCTACATAATCAACTGTAACCATTGCAACCAATTCTACTGAGACAAACATCACATCAATTAAAAAACAGGATCCCCGCTGACAGTCAAACATCACACAATCTGAAATCCTTAATCTGTTCCCACATTGGCACCAAACAGAACCAGTTTGATTGGAGTGACACAAAAATCATTGGCCACGCTACCACCCACCACATTTGTGAGTTCATCAAAGCCTGGCACTCCATAAGCAATTCCATCAACAGACACATTGACCTGCAGGCAGTCTATGAACCCCACAGAATCCAAATCAACCGTATAGTCAACCAGAGATAGCATTGACTCTCAACTAACCCACGCAATTCCCCTCTACCAGTTCACTTCTCAATGACCCTGACCTGATGTAACCTCCCTATCACAAGACCCATCACAAGACTCTCACTGATGACACATACCTGACATACCAGACTCATCACAAGACCCTCACTTGACGCACCCACACCTGAAGCACTTATAAACATCCCCTAAACTCCACTGAAGATGTTATCTAGCCTGGTAAGAAATGTTCAGAAAGCAACCCACAAGTTTGGAGAATGAACCTTCACCCTCATTACTCCTGACCTCAAAACCCTGTCTCAAGAAGCATCCTTTATTATTAGAAGTAAACAGAGTACCTGGAAGAATAGTTTCCTAAATTATTTAGTGATGTCTAAGGTGTATATATGTAAAGCATAATTTGGCAAGGTGGGAATGTGGCAGTGAATATTTATTAATCAAATTTAATTAGCAGCTCTTCTCATGAGAAGTGACTTCGGGGGATGTACAATAGTTAATATAATCAGATCAGTCAATCTGATTATCAGATAAGCATATTCTTATCTCTATAAGCATATTACATCTCTAAATGTATATAATATAGGATCTGTCAAGTAAAAATAAAACAAAAATAATACCTACCTTGGGCCCTTGGGCCCTTCGTAGCATGGTGCCCTGGGGGGATCAGAAAACCCAGATGGCCTCTGTGATCTGTTCTGATAAGCAGTGGTGGTAGTGATAGTAGTGGTGGACGCAGATGATGAAGCTATTGCAGATTCTGAATTCACTTTTACGGTAGCATGGTCAGATGAGACTGACCCAAATGCCACTGCCTGTTTGCCCAGAGGAGCGTAAGAATCACCTTGGTCTGAAGAGCTAGCAGATGCTGTCACACTTGAATAAGGCAGAGTGGCTGATGTATCAGTGTAAGAAAAAGAACCAGGGGAAGGGGTAGGAAGAAGGGCTGGCCTGTTGGTTTCAGTGACTTGGGTAGCTACATTTGAATCATTAACCTTAAATGAAAAAGAAGAAGCAGAAGTAGGAGTAGGAAGCAAAGCTGGTCTAGCTGTTTCAGTTGTCTGCATGATGACAGATGAATCATTATTTTTAAAAGGAAAGGAACTATGGGTAGGGGTAGGAAGCAGAGCTGGTCTGGTTGTCTCCATGGTCTGGGAGGTAGCAGGAGATTCAGTTGCTTTGAAAGTAAATGTAGTAGTAGTAGTAGGGGTAGGAAGAAGACATGGTCTGGCAGTTTCTGTGTTTTGAGAAGTGGGAGCTGATTCTGTAACTTTAAATGTAAAAGAGGTAGGCGCAGAAAACAAGGTTGGCCTCGCCTCCGTGCTCTGGGAAGTAGTAGAAGAATCTTCTGTGTTGGGTGTGAAAGAACCAGATGAAGGGGTAGGAAGAAGAGCTGGCCTGACCCCTTCTGTCACCTGAGAACTGGAAAGTAATTCACTGACTTTAAAAGAAAAAGAATTAGGAGTAGGAAATATGGTTGGTCTTGTTTCTGTGGTTTGAGTGCTCTTAGGTCCAGATTCAGCCATGTCAGATGCTGCTGGGCCAGCAGAAAATCCAGGAGTTGATGGAGGAAGTGCAGCTGCAGGTAAAACAGGCGTGCTACTTTGCACTGTTTGAGAATATGGAGAAAATGGAAACGTGCTCCCAGGACACTGAGTATTCAGGTTTTGCAAAGACTTCACCTTCTCCTGAAGGTGAGTGTAAGTGGCTTTCATTTGTCCCTGCCACACTTTCCACTGTTTCTCACACTCATGAAGCTGGTCTTTGTGAGGATAGGTCTGAAGTTGATCCTGCCACTGCTGAAACTCACGTTCCCATTCTTTGTAAAGTGGCTGGAATTGTTTATTCTGAGTCTCATAATGCTGTAACTGCACCTCTGTTGTTGCTGTCTGTCAGGAAAAGGAAGTAATAATGAAGATACTGTGCGTTTGGATTTTTTTAAAGTCCATGATCTGTACTCAGTTATCCTAATGTATCATCATATCATTTTAAACTTAAATAAAATTTCATACTTTCTACAATTTCATTGTTTTAAACAACAATTTATAACTATTTTCTAGTAAAAAGTGTTTTTGTTTCCTTTTCTTAGGAAGTGGTTCTTAGGAATTAATATCAGTTGTGTTACTTCTAAGGTTGATGTATAATTTATAGAATAAGAACAAAAACATTAACATTTCACTGTTAGGCAAATATGTTGTCAGCATTCTCTAACTTAACAAGTGCTAAAATTCAATTCCCATAAATTTCAGTAGGAAATAACCATATTGATGTGGGATTATGTGAACTGAGATCCAAGATTGCCGAGGGGTGACATATTGTGTGTACCTAGAGTCAGGAAAAACAAACTATGAAGAATAAATAAAACAATAAATAACTATTAAGCTGTATTTCATAATTAAAATATAACAATTAAAATATAGCAGCAATTATTAGCAGCAATAATTAATATAAAATATAGCAGCAATTTCACTCAAGAACCAGTTTGATATAGTGATTGAACTGGAAACTGACTGTGAGTACTGCCTTAGGTACGAAGCCAAATGTGTGGTCTTGGGCTAGTCACTCTCTCTCAGCTTTAAAAGGCAGGAAATGGCACTTCTGAAATCTTATCAAGAAAACTGCTAAAACTTTTCAGGCAGTAGCCAGGAATCAACACTAACTCCAAAGGACAAAACAAAAGCCAATAACAATTTTACTTATTTGGAAATAAGTAAATTATATTGTTTTAAACAACTTACTGACAAATGTAATGGCTGCTGTATAATCTGTTGATAGCGTTGTAAAATTTGTTGCAACTGTGAATGTTTTTGCATTATTCTTTGATACTGGAAACCCACTCTTTGTTGTGGATGTTGCTGCCATTGTGTTGCTGCTGCCTGTAGCTGCTGTAATCTCAAGCTTTCTTCAGGATCTTCTGGAGGTTCAATGTTTAGCTAGATAGAGTAGAAGGAATCAGTCATGCTATTTTTTTTTTCAATCAGTGTTTAGAATTCCAAAGAAAAACAAATATTAAAAACATTTTTAAAAATCAAAGAAAGACTAATGTTACGTCCTAGGTGACATCCACAAATGCATCATTTCTCCGTTGCTTAAACTAGGTCATTTCTAGTAATATGTAATGTTTCATGGTGAGAACAGAAATGATGGGGAATGATGCAAAGACAGGCCTTTCTCTTGCTTTGGGAGAGGGAGTTTTGGGAGGCTTAATATTTGTTTTAAAACTCTGTTGAGACTAGTATAGGACTCATATTGTAGTTTTCTGTTCGATGTTTCAAACTTATAAAAAATGTTACCATAAATCTCAGCAACATTAATCAGGGCAAGCTGAAGGGAGCCCAAAGAAGAAGACTGGAACTGCCAGTTGCCCACTCTTGCTGCAACTTTTGACACCCCCCACCCCCAAAGCATTTACTAACCATTCTTCCATTAATAAAAAATACATTTAAATATCTGAAATCAATAAAAGAGGGAAATCTTTATCAATGAACGCTTATGTATAGTGACACTTCTGTGAATAGCATACCTTTAGTTCAACAGATGACACAGGAGGCTCTTCATCTTTTGGATGTGGTAACTTGGGAGCATAATTCAAATTGGGTTCAGAAAGGCCACTAGAAACAGGTGTTTCTCTTTCTTCTTTTCTCTGTTCTGGGGCATCATTCACAACAGGTGGCTGTTGCTGTCCCAATGCATGTGCTTTTGCCCTTTGCTGAAGAGTAAGTAGATGCTGTTGATACCAATATTGCTGCTGTTCCTACAATAAGTAGAAGTATTTCAGTTTCATAGAGAAACAGAATATCCTAGAATCTGAAGAAAGCTGTGGTATTTATTGTAAAACAGCCAGAAGACATGAGTTCTAGTCCTGACTTAGGCACAAATCCAGTTGGGTGACCTTGAGCCAGTCAATCTCTCTCTGGGAAGAAGGCCGCGTCATCTTTGCTTCCAAAAATCTTGCCAAGAAAACAGCAGGGACTACTCCAGGCAATTACAGAAGGTCAACACTGACTTGAAGCATTAAAAAGTCAGCCCCCCACAACTCAAGTTGCACTGTGAAATTTGTTTTATTTATTTAGCATATTTATGTAGCTAGACTACAAACACGTGATTCTAGGAGATGTACAACACAACCATTAAATCAACTCCATAATATACTAACAGAAACAAAAAATAAAAACAAACAGATATCACTTATCTCATATAGCCACCTTTCAGTATCAAGGCTGGTGAAAAAAAATGCTTTAAAGTAGGGGTCCCCAACCCCTGGCCCACTACTGGACTGTGGCCTATTCAGAATTCAGCCTACGATTGCCTGGCCAGAGTGCGCATACATGCACAGCTCAACTTGTGTGAGCCATGGGTCGGCAGACACTCACATGCATGCATGCATGCATGCTGGCCTGCCACTCGTGTAAATCATGTTACATGTGTGCATGTTGGCCCACCATTCATGCAAGGCTGTGTGCACACCTGCCCACCATTCAAGCAGCCCAGTTCCTCTCTCCTCCCTTCCAGTGGGGCCAACAAGCCACAAAGTTTGGGGTTGTTTTAAAGATCTTCCGTAAGGCTAACAAACATGAGGCTATCCTCACCTCGGGGGCAATGAGGTTACAGACAGTGAAAAAGGCATGCTACCTGGGTCCCTCCAGATGGAAAGTTTCTTGGAAAACCCTGGAAGGGTTACCCTGGAACCAGTGCACAGAGAGGGGCTGTATAGAAGCAACGTACAGTAGTTCAAGACTTTCATCTTTTTCTATGCTGCAACTGAGGCCTTGGCTGAACTGCCCAGCAGATTCTTTTTCAGCACTGTGGTAACGAGTGATAGGTAAGCATGGATTGCCTGTAGAGTTATACTAATAAAATTGTGCAAGTCTGAAAGCACCTTTCTTTCCCTGCCTCATTTTTTCTTAAATCCCAAAAAACTAGGAACCCGGGGCCCTTTCTGAGCCATCTGCCCTTCCCACATTCCTGCTGTGGGCTAAGCTGTCTTGACTTGACTGAGTCTTTTCTCCTTGTCTCCCAAATTCATCCCTATAAATTATTGGGGAGTTTGAGCAAGGCAGTGGCTAAGCAGCATGGACACATGCTGTTTTGCTTAACAATGATTTCGCTTAGTGACAGAAATTCTGGTTCCAATTAGGGTCAATAAATGAGGACTAGCTGTGTACATTTTGCTCAGCTATTAACAGCATGACTTTCTTCTCATAAAGCAGCTAAACAGAATGATTTCTAAGAATCAATTTCTGCACAATCTCTTTTTTGATTCTTATGCCTACTTCACAATTTTTTCAGTATAGAATACTGTATAGTATAAATAAAATAGCTTTTTTCAATGCATTTATTTGATTTATAAACAAACTTGTAGGGATGTCCTTCTATTAGAAGAAAATTTAGGCAGTGAATAAAACACAGTACGCTAAAACAAAAAAAGCATTTAAAATAACAATGAGCCCAAATGACATTCATAACACTTTTTCAGCAAACCCTCATGCCAGCTCCATCAACATTCTAGCCCCAGTGTCTATTTTCACTGGGAAAGCCAGATCGCCACTCGTTTCCTAAAAGCCAACAGATTTGGGGTTAATCTATATTTCTGTGGAGGAGCTGTTCCATAAGATGGATACCATAACATAAAATCTACAGTTCTGAGGCTCCATTAAGTGGTATTGCTCCACTGAGGGGATCCAGAGCCTATCTATTCTTGTCAAGAGATAATAGGATGGATAAAAACATTGGGGATAGGCAGTCCCACAAGTAACCTGGTCCCATGCCATGTAGGGTTGTAAAAGTGACACAAATACCTTGTATTGTTCCCAAAGCCTACACGGTAACAATATTACATGGGCATATCATTACTACCTGCCCAGCATTCTGGACCAACTTAGTTTTCAAATGTTCTTCAAGATAGCCTTATTGAGACTGCATTGCAACAGTCCAATTGGGAGGTGACTAAGGCATGAGTGCATTAATGAATGTGAGCGAGGCCTCCTAATCTACATAAATGAACTTATTAACACTGGTACACTACAGGGTTGCGTGTTGAGTCCTTTACTCTATACTCTTTATGTGCGTGACTGCATTCCCACTCACGCTAGTAATACTATTACTAAATTTTCATGATACAACAGTGGTGGGACTTATCTCCGGGGGGATGAGTCTACCTACCAAGATGAAGTAGACTGGTTGCTTTCGTGGTGTAGAGACAAAAACTTGGTCCTCAACACCAATAAGACCAAAGAGCTTATAGTGGACTATAGAAGGAACAGATCAGACATCCACCCCTTGCTTATCAGTGGAGACTGAGTGGAGCAAGTGGCCAGTTTTAAGTTTCTGGGTGTTACCATAAAAGAGGACCTGACATAGGGGACACTCACATTGCAGCATTGGTCAAAAGGACCCAGCATAATTATACTGCCTAAGTCTTCTCAGGAAACAACTGAATGAAAAACTGTTGGTGAGCTTCTACCGCTGAACCATAGAGTATTTTAACTTACTGCACCTCTGTATGGTTTGTCAATTGCACAGTGACAAATAGGACAGCATTCCAGAGGCTTAATGTCATTGCCCAGAGGATAATTAGTTGCCCTCTCCCCACATCTTTGGAAAAGCTTTGTAGCTCCCGCTGCCTTAAGAAAGTTCAAAACATTTTCAAAGATCCATCTCATCCTGGGCACCCTTTTTTTGAACTATTACCATCTGGTAGACAGTACAGGATAATAGAAACAAGGATAGATAGGCTGAAAAACAGCTTCTATCCCAGGGCAATAACTATACTGAATTCTACTGTATAGTGCCGTGATGGCAAATCTATGCCATGCGTGCCAGATGTGTCACCTGTTGCTCTTCTGGGTACCGGTGCATGCATGTGTGCCAGCCAGCTGGTCTTCTGGGAGCGCTGGAAACTGGAAGAGCAGCTCTACGGTGTGCATGCATGCACCAGCCAGCTGCGCGTTAAGAAACCGGAAGACAAGGTGGCTGGCATGCATGTGCATGCCGGTTTCCAGCACTCTCGCGCATGTGCATCGGGGAGCTACTCTTCTAGTTTCCGGTGTGTGTATACCCGTTTCAGCACTCAGTGCCGAAAAGGTTTGCCACCACTGGTATAGTGCAATATTAATGCAATATCAGGTTTTCAATTCAACTGTATAGAATGTGAAGGATGTGTGCTTGTGTTTTATTTTTATAGTTATAATGTACACTGGAGATGGCATTTAATTTGATTGTACGAGGTGCAATGACAATAAAGTAAATTAAACTACAGAGCAAACTGATATTTGTACAAAGGCCCTCCTGGCAACCACCTCTCATAATGATGGAGCCAATAGTTAGGAGTGTCATCCCAGCCAGAGTTAAAGATGACAAACCACCAGACACAGGGGACCCTAAAACCCACAGCCCACCATTTTTGTCAGCTGGTTCTTCCACATCCAGGAACATTTAGCCTCCAGGGACTAGGAAAATAGAAGGAAGGAGTATTAGACATGTTTGTTGCCTTGAGTTATTTACAAACGCTGAGAGAAAGTCAGTGCTCACAGCCCACAGATGAGTGGCGGTGGGTTATGGTGCCTGGAAGTCCAGCCGCCCTAGCACTCAGGTTCTCCACCATTCCGTCCTCTTGCTGGTGTGCGGCTACTTTGCTTCGACACCCCCCCCTCCCCCCCCAGGTTTGGTGAGCCCTGGCTTGGGGCTCAACAAATAATAAAGGCAGGATAAAAATAAAGTCAGAAAATAAAAGGTATTCATTGTACAAGAACCCTCCCCTCCCTAAACACAGCACAGTATATATGTCAGCTATCATTATTATAGGTTATTCCAAAATTGAGGCCATGCTATTGAAAGAGTCTGGTAACCACTGAGCAAACAGTATATCCAAAAGAAGAGAATATATATACCCCAGGTTTGAGTCCTTGGTGGTTTATGAGCTTGTTTTTTTCTTGAAGATGTTTTATCAGTGCCCTAATTGTACCATCAGGGCAATGATCAGTGACATCAGAGCACCGTAATAGATTAGTGCTACTAGAATACTGATTTTATCTAGCTGAATAATGAAATGTTTGCAAGTAAAACAACCAAGGACTCCACAAATGGCATATGAAAGTTTGGCCTTTGTGGAATCTCACTTAAGCATTTAATGCCTTCCTCCCCATTTATAATAAAAGCCACTGTAACATTTTCTCCTACTGCTATATGTACACACATCTCACAGTTAGAGCATTTAATTCAATAAGGAAAAAGCTTTTGTAGTTCAGACACAAATTGCAATGGTTACCTCATCCTTACCTGGGGGGTCATTGAGGATAGATCTGCACGTGAGCTGCTTTGCTGTTGCTCACACTCTTTCTCTGGGCCACCGCTCAGTCTTAATTCTGGTGGTTCGGAAGCACCTTGAGTAATCTGGGATGAAGGGAAGTGGGAGTCGGGCTGGGAGGCTGATGTTGCAATGGGCTGGCCTAGCTGGGAGGCCGACTGGAAGTTGGTTTGATAAGTTTTGGGCTGGTTTGGGTAAGGCTGAGAAACAGCTGAAGGTGGGGGGTCTGAAAATGTCTTAGGAACTGCCTGAGACAAGGGCAAATGGGGCTGGTAAGCCTGCGGGGGTGGGATCTGACTCTGCGCTGGCATAGACTGAGGCGGGGGTACATAGGGATCAACTTCTAACTGGGGCATGAAAGTCTGGGAAGGCGATTGCGGGGGTGAAGACAGATCCATGTCCATATCCATGCCCATATCCATGCGGGGACTGGCCGAAGGAACCAGGGACTCCCACTCCTTGCGGGGCTGCGATGTCTCGGCAACCTCATCTGTAGATGAAAGCGGCGGCATCGGGGGATTTCGGAACTGGGATTCCCGAGGCAAAGGGGGAGGAAGGGAATCGCGGTGTTTGAATTGTTTCTGGTAGCTCCGCGTGGGCGGCGGTCCGGCGGGTACCGGGGGCTGCCAGGAAGTATTGGCGACAGAGGGCAGAGGAGGGGGCATACTCGGGGGAGGCGGGCCGGGCGGAGGGGGCCCCCCTAACAACACCGATTGCAACTGCTTCTGGTGCATCTGCTGGAGCTGCTGCAGCTGGACCAGGTGCTGTTCCTGGAGACTCAGAAATCCCCCAGTCCCGGCAGCGCTGGTAGTCGCCGAACTGGCCGCGTAACTACCTAAAACAGGCGGCGGGGCTACCGGGATCTGAGGCGGCGGCGGCGGCGGCATGGTGGTAGGCATCACGCCCGGCAAAGGCGGCGGCGGCAACAGCATTGTAGGGGGCGGAGGATAAGGCCCGGGGGTTGCCCCATACAGACCCCACGTCGGGAACATAGAGGCGAGAAACGGGTCTCCGAGGGCGTCGGCTGGACTAAACGCGGGCCTCCGTAGGCCGCAGTAGAGACGGAGGTGCGTGCGCTCTTCTACGGCTGCGTACCAAAGTGCCGAACGCGCTCTGGTCATAGAGATGCAACTTCCTTTAAACGAGAGCGTCCCCGGCTCAGCACTAAGCAAAGGGAATGATGATACAAGTACGTCATTGGTGCTCGCGACTGATTTCCGTTCAAAAGCATAGAGGTGGGGTTCTATATCAAAAGAAACTGACTAACTTTATTACCTAATAATAATAATAAAAAGAAAGAAAAAATAACCAAAACAATACAAGAGCACACAACAGATACAAACTCAATGTAAACCGCTTCAAACTTGATTGCAGAAAGTACGACTTCAGCAACAGAATGGCCAATGCCTGGAATGCACTACCTGACTGTTGTTACATCCTCTAACCCCACTCCTTTAACCTCAAACTATCCACTATTAACCTTACCCCATTCCTAAGTGGTCTGTAAGGGGCATGCATAAGTGCACCATCATGCCTACCGTCCCTGTCCTGTTGCCCCCATTTATTCGTACCTATTTCCTGTATTCTTACTCATGTTTATATCTATTATCTTGTAAGCGATTGACAAATCAAATAAATAAACTTAATTTCGCTTACATGATAAATGCTTCATATGATGTTTTTTCAGGTCTGAGGCATAGCTTTTAAATTTCCACAACGAGGATAATCAGTTGATTATAGGCATGCTGAAAACTTGTTCTGCAAAATGCTGACTGAAATAAAGAATACTTGCATTAGGAGTGCGTGTGGTTCAGAGGTGGTATTCAGCAGGTTCTGACCAGTTCTGGAGACAGGTAGTGAAAATTTTGAGTAGTTCGGAGAAAACTACCTCTGACTGGAGATTTTATAGTATTCTTCCCCTGCCACATTCACTAAGCCACACCCACAGAACCAGTAGTAAAAATTTTTGAATCCCACCACGGATTCGGATGGAAGCATATATTACTCTCAAACCGAAAGAAGATTCAGACCTGCAACGGATAAAAGACTATAGACCGATATCTTTATTGAATGCTGACTATAAAATATTTGCTTCAATAATTGCAGAAAGACTGAAGATATTTTTAAATCAATGTATACATTCAGACCAAAATGGCTTTTAACCTAAGAGACAAATAATATGAGGATAATTTTGAACATTTTGGAATATTATGAAGCATACCCAGAGAAGCAAATGGCATTGATCTTCCTAGATGCACAGAAGGCGTTTGATAATGTGAACTGGCAATTTATGCTAGCACAATTAAGAAATAGAATTTGGGGAGAGATTAAGATGATTAAGGCAATATATTATGAACAAACCGCAAATGTGATGGTAAATGGGGACATGACTGAAAAGAAGGGAACAAGACAAGGATGCTCCTTGTCGCCACTCTTATTTATATTGACACTAGAAGTACTAAATAGAAATATCAGAAAAGATAATGAGATAAAAGGTATGGAAATAAAAAAGGAAAAATGTAAACTACAGGCATTTGCAGATAATTTAGTTTTTATCCTAGAAGATCCACTAGAAACAGGACCTAAGTTAATAAAAAAAAATAGAGGAGTGTGGCGCAGTGGCAAGACTGAAAATAGAGAAAAAACTAAAATTTTAGTGAAAAAATGTCACAGAGAAGCAGAAAAAAGAGTTAATGAGATTAGATATCCAGATCACCAAGAAAGTAAAATATCTAGGGATTCAATTAACAGCAAGATGTGTGACAATCAAGGAAGATAATTATTATAAATTGATAAATTAAGGTAGATCTGGAAAAATTTGCAATTATTAATAGGGAGAATGACAACAGTTAAAATATATTGCCGAGATTACTGTACCTGTTTCAAACAATTCTGATAAAATTGGAGAAAAAATGTTTTGAAGATCTTAACAAAATAATATTAAAATATATTTGGCAAGGGGAAAAAGCACCTAGGGCTCACTGCTTTAGAAGAGTGAGGAAAATTCTCAGGGACGACTCACACCCCGGTCAGCACTTCACTCTCCTACCATCGGATAGGAGATATAGAAGCATAGCCAGCCGCACCAACAGGCTGAAGAACAGTTTCTACCTGTCAGACTTCTGAACAAAAAATAACTTAGTGTCAACATAGTATGATAGACTTGCAGGGCCGGTGCGTTGTGCAACAAGGTCACATAGTGTAATAAGATTGGGACTGGGTTAGGGACCTCTGTCCTCACTGTGAGTTGTGTTGGGGGGGGGGAAGTTGCACAAAGGGAGGCTCAGCCAATCTCATTGTACACATGTTGTACTCTGACAATAAAGGTAATAATAAGCAAGAATTAACTTAAAAATGCTACAAGACATAAGAACTAGAGGAGGGTTACCTAATTGGGAATTACAGTATATTACCAGGCTGCAGTGTTAACTTGGATGAAAGAATGGATTGTATTGAAGAATACAAGATTATTGATTCTGGAGGGGTATTGTCCCCAAAACTGGGCTCTTGCTTGGTGTCAAAGCCGATAAGTCACCAGACACAAGGTGTGATACAATATACTTTTATTTTGGTACCAAGATATAAGGATCCTGACTCAAAAGCTAACCAAGGGCCTCGATGAGAATCTTACAGCAATTTTTATAGTCAAGGGGTGGTCGCATTCAGCCCTTTGCCCTTCCCCTAATAATGCATGCATAACAACATAATATTGGTTATTTGGATCTCAGCCCACTACATAGCTAAATGTCGCGTCATTTGTTTTTCACCCCAGGTCACGGGTATTTTGCAAAGTATCCTGGTTTCATGTGCCAGCTATGTGGTTTTGGGGTTTTTTCTTTTAAGCAAGCTATTCTTGTTCCTGATATCCTCGCTAGTGGTTTAAGGTGTTAACTTCTGCTTCGCTAAGAATGTGCGGTTCCCAACCCCTTTCCTATTGCAGAGCAGCTCAAAGCAGCACCCCCACTCCCCACGACCCCCCTCCTTCCACAGAGAAAAGTAAAAGCAGTTTTAACTTTGTCTGAGGCAGCACCCCCACTCCTCGCACCCCCCCCTCTTTCTGTAGAGAGAAGACAGGAAGGAACAAGGCAGCTTAAGGCAAAGAAAAAGACAAGAGAAAATGTTTTCCTCATTCTCATGTCCATTCCATCCAGACCTGGGTCCTATCTCCACATATGATCCTTCCTCTGACCCCCAGGGCCTCCTCTGCACATACATCCCATCATCTGATTCTTCAGGGGCATGATTTACAATTAGGTTGGCTTCTTATGGTATGGGAAAAGTAAGATACATGGTTACTTTCAAAGACATTATATAAAAAAGGCTTTATTGTTATTATGGGAGAAAATTAGAGAACAGCACTACTTGAAGATACCAGTTTGGCTTTTGACAATGGAAGCACTCATTCATCCAAATATTATTAATATGGGAAATATTGTCAGATACAAAGATATTTTGAATTAAAAGGGTGAGCTCAAAACTAAACAAGAATTAAATGAGCAAGGGATAGATATGATTTGGTATTCATATGTGCAAATACAGTCTAGATATGAAAAAGATGCTAAATTAGATGGTTTCTATAAAGAATTGACAGAATTGGATAAAATACTAACTGGAACAGAAGAAAAACTGAAAAAAAATCCTGTATAGTTATCCATTGGGTATTAAATTGGAAGAAGAACAGGTGAAGGAGACAATGATAGCATGGGCAAATTTTTTTGGTTGTACTACAGAATTAAGACAAATGGCAGAAACCTGGGATGGAAACTATAAACTAACAATATCAACTACATGCAAAGAAAATTTATATATTCCGGTTTGCAAGGCTTCAGCGGCAGCAGGAATCCGCGATCGTGCGCAGTTCCTGCTGTGCTCACTGCTGGAGTGCCCCTGATACAGTTGGATTTGGAGGCTATAGTTACCCCGTAGTGGTGACTGAAGACAGGGGAGATCCGGGCAGGGGTCTGGGGGAATCGCAACCCCCCCTCCTCAGCCGGCTTAACTCCCTTTTCCAAAGGCGGTGGAGCAGCGGTCAGCAATGGGCGCCACAAAGAAGCTTTCAGCCAGACAAGAATGTGCAGGAGGAAGCTGAGAAAGTGAAAGTTTTTGGCTGAACCGGGACAACAAGTAACATCTAAATACCCTGGAAATTCAACTTTTTTAAAGATATATTGCTCCCTAAGAAGATTGTAAAAAGCGGCAGATGAAAGTGAAAAGGGAAAGTTTTTTCCCCCCCACTCTCCTTCCCTATGGAGATAGCAGATGGAAATCGGAAAAACCAGTTTTGGCAACAGAAGCTAATTAAATCTGAAAATTAAAGCCAAGGGGACATTAAAGATTTGTGAACATTGGAACTAAAAAATTAAAATCTTTTTGCTATAAGTGGGAAGGGAGAGGTAAAAAAATTATATTAAGACTTTGTTGGAAGAGACTGCTTGGAGCTTATAAGATCAGAGATAAACTGTAATAAGACTTCTAAAAAATACATTTTGGAACTTTGCAATTGAATTCTACCCCAGGAAGAGAAAGTATGAAAAGAAGAAAGTGCTAAACGAAACAGTTTGTGTTCATTTGGATTGCTTGGTGACTTTGGGACTTTTAGAAACTATTTTTTGAAAGATTAAAAACATTTGGGTTGTTTAAAAAAAATCTCACAATGGCATTATCTGTTGAAGAATTGAAAATGGAATTCAAAAAGCTAAAAGAAGAGGAACAAGAAGGGAAGGGCTCTTCTGGATCTGTTTTTCACTTCTTAGAAATGGCGATTTCTACCTACCAGGAATTACAACAACAAGAAGGCTGGGATGAAGAAGAAAAAGCCATCTTTAATGAACAAACAACTTTAGTTGAGGAAGAAAAGGGAAAGAGGGGAAAGAGAATGGAGAATTTAAGATTTAAAAAGACAACCAAAAAAGGGAAAAATAAGGTGAAAAATCGATACAATGTCAGAAAGCAACAGAAAAGAGGAATACAACAGAGAGGGGAGACTAAGAGGGAGGAGATTAAGAGATGTGGGGGTAAAAAGGCTAGATTCGACAAGAAAGGAAGGGGAAAGGGGAAGAGAAGTTATAAAGGCTTGAAACAAGATGTTAAGAAACAGGGTTTTTTTAGAGACAAAGGGTAAAATACAAATAAAAAAAGGATTCTGCAAAAGTACATAAGACTGTATTGTAGTATTTGTATTTGAAATAGAGTTAGAAAATTGGAATATTATATGATTTAATAAAATATTAAAGGGAATGTGTAAAATGTCTAAGATTTAATGATAGAGTTTAATTTGCTATGGAACATTGTTTTATATTATCAACTTATTATTTTCTTATTTTAAAATGTAGTACGTAGAATATACTAAGCAGAATCAGAATGGAAATTATATATTATTTTAAGTGTTAAATTTAGGGGAAAGATAGAAAGGCGTCATACTTCAACCAGTGACTACAGGAGAAATTTTGTATTAAATAGAAAAGATAAATAGATAATTGAAAAAGAACGGACAAAAGATACAAGTATAATGATTTAAATTGAGATGAAATAAATAAAATAGAATTAAGAGAGTGAAAAGAGGGGAGAAGCCATATAGAAAATATAGAATGCTAAATAAGGTATGAAATGGTATATAAGGTGAGCATGAATTTGATTTGTCTATACAAAAAGATGTAACCCAGGACTAAGCCGCTTTCCAAAAAGAAATGTTATGTTTTCATATTTTGTGTTTTGTTTGTCCATGTTTGTTTATTGACAATTAATAAAATTTTTGGGGAAAAAATGTATATGTTTTATAGATGGCATTTTGCACCCACAAGTTTGGCAAGATGTTTAAAGATAAATCAGCTATATGTTGCAAATGCCACCACACACCTGAATCATATTATCATATGTGGTAGACATGCATAGAATCCAAAATATATTTGACAAAATCATGGTTGGAAAAGATAATAAGCAATATATTGATTTAAAACCTGAAATATTTCTGTTGGGGATTACACCTGAAATTTATAGTAAAAGAAAGCATATTTAATTATTCATGTATTAACTGCAGCTAGAATTGTATTTGTATAAAACTGGAAAAGTAAAGAGATTCTGACTGACGAGAATGTGATTAGGAAAATATTAGAATGTGCAGAAATGAATAGTCTAACACTTGCAATTAAAGAGAAGAAACAAACTGAATATTATATGATATGGGATTTATTTTATCAATGGCTGGAGAATAAATATGAACGTTAGAAATTAAAAAAGATTAGTGAAAAATAGTAGACATGTGAATAGAATTAAATGTTAAGATGGGGATTGTTATAATTAGACATATTATGTATATATTCTTATATACATAAGTATCAATACTAAAATAAGGAATATGTACAAACTGTAATTGTTATTGCACAAGATATTTGTACCCAGACGACACACTGTTTAAATGGAAGATGGATTGTTTGTGTAAAATAATTTTTTTAAAAAAAGTGTGTGTGTGGTCCAGCAACTTGTTCTCTAGTTGCTAAATACAGGTAGCATCATGCCCTTGTTGGAGTCTGACTCTGAGGGGGAGATTGAGGAGCTGACAGGGAGTGGGAATGTGGCTCCAGTGGCTGGGGAAGAAATGGGGGAAGAGCAATCCAGCTGGGCATTCAGAGGAAGACCCAGGGCCATCTCCTCGTCATCCTAGGGCACGCAGGGAGGAACAGAGAAAGGAGGTGTCTTACGGGAGAGGAAAAGGCCCTGATCCCTTTCATTAGTTGCACCTGGGAGAACAGGATATAAGTGGGGCATTTTAAATAGCTCTTTGCTGGAATGAAAGCTTGGTCGAGGCTTATCTGGGTTTGGCGTCTTCCCAACTGTGGTTGCTGCATTATCTTGTGGAAGTCTGCAATTTATCATCCTGGCCTGCCATGTTAATGACTCCAGTGTAATTTGTGTTGAGTTTTTTAATTTCTAATTATTTTTACTTTTGGTTCAGACTGCATTTACTCTCTTCATAGACTGTTTTTTGGAAGAGATTGATATCAAGCCGAGGATAATTGGACGTTGGGGCCCAAGTTGGAGGCATTAAAGGGAATTTATTCTACTTTTGTGACTGTATTATTTTTGTGTCACACCCCAGGTCATCACAGGTAGTCCTTGATTTACAACAGTTCATTTAATGGCTGTTCGAAGTTACGGCACTGAAAAAAATGACTTATGACTGTTTTCACACTTACTATCGTTACAGCAACCCCATCCCCATGGTCACGTGATTTATATTTGGATACTTGACAACAGACTCACATTTATGACAGTTGAAGTGTCCTAGGGTCATGTGATCACCTTTTGTGACCCTCTGACATGCAAAGTTAATGGGGAAACCGGATTCACTTAACAACGGTATTACTAATTTAACAACTGCAGCGATTCAGTTAACAAATGTGCCAAGTCAGAAAATGGGGCAAAACTCACTTAACAAATTTCTCATACCAAATTTTGGGCTCAAATAAGGTCGTAAGTCAAGGACTATCCAACATAGACTATGTAAATCCCTCAGTGAATATTGTAGCATTTCCTGCTTATGATCCTTACTATATACACCAATACGGGATGCAATTTACACCTACTATAACAAAGATCCATAATTGTTCTTTGCTGGTAAAGAATTACAAAGATACTTTCCATTTGAGCAGAACTTAAGTGAATAACTAACCCTAATTTGTTGGCATAATCTTGAATTAGATATAGGGTGGGAGGTCACCAGGATAAAGATTGGAAAATACACTCATCTCTTTTCACCCAATTTAAATCAGGTTTAGTACTACCTAGGTATTTATTCCATGCTGAGGCATAGTGTCAGGACTGTCATCTTGCTACTCCATTTTTCACTTGCTGCCAGCCTGCCATACTCAGCGGGGGGAAAGGGGTGCTATGGAGTAGGATAGTGGGGGGACTAGCATGAGAGGAATCGAAACTATGCACTGTGCTGTCTCATGTGAGCTGATGGCCACTCCAAGGTCACATTATGGAATGCAGAACTATCCAGCCTGCGAAGCCAGGGACTGTTACCTAAACAATTCGTTAGAATTTAACTGGACGCTCAAAAATAACCAGGGGAGAAGGTGGGAACAAGGGAAGAGTTAACCATATGTGAAAATCCCAGATCCGGCATTGCTTCTGTTGTAACCATGTGTCTTTACTAAAGTGTATGTTCGTTAATAATGGATTCGAGTCTTTCTTTTTTAACTGACCAATTAGGATGGCTGACATAGAGAATTTTAGTAATCAAAAACTATTTTGGTATTTTGCAACTTCTTCCTCCAATTGTACAGTATCTCAAAACATTGACAGTTGCTGGAAGACACTGCAAATCACCTGCTGTTTAGTTAAGTGGCAATGCTGAAAATCTTTTGGAATGTTGCATACCTCAAAATTCAATAGATTAGTGACATCATTCAAGAACCATAGTTTGGAGACACTGTTTTCTGGCAGCTATCTTTAATTTTAGTTTCCATCATATAATGCTCCATTTCTTGCTAAGAGAGATGAGGAAGGAAAAAAATAATTATAGATACCTTGTATTATAAAAAAGAGTATGATGTGGGAAGACATTTTTAATCCATAGCTTTAAGATGCTGACAGTAGCTTTTGGGAAAAAAAATTATTTAATTTCCCTCTGGACATTATACAGCAAATATACCTGCCTTTTGAAGAGCAACTGAATTTGCATGCAGGCCTGATCTTGTAACAAAACAGCTGTCTTTAGCAATTACATTTAATTTCAATTTTCCCCTTTTGTCTTCTATTATCATCACAGAAATATATTTTTAAACACAATCTAAACCTGTCTGTTTTGTTCAATAATTCTGAATTATTTAGTATTATGAAGGAAAATGTAATTTTTTATAGTAATGTTTAATATTTTCTAAAATATAAACCCTATGTTATAAATATAAACCCTATGTTCTTGTAATTATTTTCTATTTCTATATTTCAAAAGGTTACTTTTAAGGACTTTTTTCTTTATAAGCTGCCTGTTGAACACAACTATCTGAGGTTTGGAAATTTTTATTTATATACAAATTGGTTTCATGTCATTAGTATTAATGCCACAATCAATCGTAATTTTTAGTTATATTAAATTATTACACACGTATATATATATATGTGGAATAGAGCAGGGGTGGGATCCTACTGGCATAACTGGTTCACTTCGCACGCATACATGCCAAATATGTGCGTGAGCCTTACAAATTACCAGGTCCAGCAAGTTTGCCCTCAAATGTTGTGGGAGCGTCATCAGTTGAGACTTTCAAGAAGAGATTGGACTGCCATTTGTCAGAAATGGTGTAGGGTCTCCCGCTTGGGTGGGCAGTAGTACTAGGTGACCTACAAGGTCCCTTCGAACTCTGATTATCTGTTTTGAAAGCATTCACCTGCTCCAGCTGATGAGTGGCATTCAGCTGTGCCGCACAAAGCAGCTGAGGAGGAAAAAGCAGAGACTAAAGGACAGCCTAGAGCCCGGGTGGGCCAAACAGACGACCAGAAAATCATCGCAACGAACCGGTTCAGTGTCAGCTACTCTTTGGAGATGTCAGTTCTATAGAACCAGGCCAAACTAGTAGCATCCCACTCCTGGAATAGAGGGTTTCTTTGCACCCAAATTTCAAAGTATTGAGTGTTTTGACAATTTTAAGCAAGTATCTGAATCTTTGCATAAACCCTGTAGAAATACTCACTTGCATATTGAACATTTGTAAAATGACTGTATCATAAGAAAATTTCTAATAAGGAAATTCTCAGAAACATATTTACAAGCAATACGAATGTTTATATTAGATTCCAGAACATGGAATAGAATGTCCATTTTGTCTGGAAGAGATTTGTTTAACAAATTAGTTTAAATTCCAAGCACGATAAGAAATGAACCGAGATTAGAAGTTCATTATAACTGTCCCAGTGTTCTGGAATTCAACATGGAACTTTTTCTATCATATTTAAAACCGAGGAGCTCCGTAATCATCAGGCATCCGCTCAATGTTATACCTAAAATCAGAGAGAAAAATTGAAATATTACATAATCCACTGTATTCCCTCGTTGTACTAAGCCAGTACAAATTTAGAATCTTAGAAGATCCGATCATTATGCAATTAAGACAGCAGTTCAAAGTGCTGCACCATTCAGGCTAAGCAAGTGGAAGAAACAACATATTACTAAATCATTGTAGGAAAAATTACACATTATAAAAGAGTATTATATACTATTGTTTATTCAGTACCACCAGCTTTCCTGAATCACTGTGAATAAGGCAGTGCACAAATGTAATAAACAAACATACATTTAAGTAATACAGAAATATAAAATAAATAAAGGCATGAAATAAAGCTGATCCAGTGTGTAGGAGTGTGTGTGTTTGTGTGTATATGTGTATGTGGGCTAGTTTCATAGTTTTCTCAAATTAATGTACAAATGTGATTGTATTGTGGCTTTTATTACTATTTAACCTCTTGTTTATGTCATCTAAGCAGAATGTTTCTGACATAAAGGGCTGTGTATGAAGTTCAGCCATAGAATTCATGTACACATGTAATCCTGCATGTGCGCGCACATGCGCGCACACACACAGAGTTTGTAGAGTTGCAGTTTGGTTTCCACCGATTTGCTGTCTACAAATGCATGTGTGCGTGCGCATACATACAAATACATAAATATACACATGCTCTTGAACGTTCAGATTATTACAAAGCAACATCATAAGCTACATTTTATTTGGTCAAATAATGCTTTCTCACATACCTGTGATTGGATATATACATTATTGGTACTCCTGGGATCTTTCGTATTCTTCGCTTCAGGTCTCTGTCTACAGTAGCCACTATATAACATTTGTGCTGTAAGAGGAAAAGGCAATCTGGTTAAAAGAACAGCAGATCAAGCATGTTCATTTTTTTAAAGCAACTGTCAAGAGCTATGATGAATTATTTAAACTATTTGTATGCTACATGGCCCACTCTGGTAGGTGAAATATTAATTGGTCAATACCCAATTAAATGTTAGCTTCTCTTGAGGATCACTGAAATCAAAACAAATTGAGCAGCCCTTTGTCAACAGAACAGCAAGAGAAGTTCATAGAATAGGATGTACCTGGGTGACCCTCTGTACCAAACAGTCATCAGCATAGGTTCCTTTGTGAGTACATGGCAAGCGTTCAAATCGGGGATCTTTTGCTATCCTGCAGTTATAACAGAAAAAATAGGATAGATTATTAAAAACAAACTGAAAAAAAAAACATTTTTGCCTTTTTTCTTCTTCATTAAATGGGTTGCTATACGTTCATCAGGAAAATAGGAATTCTGGGGAACATAATTTGATTTTTTTCTCTTGACAAAACATGTGGTTCATGAACAAGGCAAATAAGAGCTTACTTCATCTATTTTCTGTAATCCAACTATATCAAACTAAGAAAAAAGCTTACAATTTTATGACATATCTCCTGGGGTCCTGGAAGACTTAAAAAATAATTTAAGTGCAACCCTTAAGGGGGAACATGCCAATTTCTGGTTCAGTACTATATAATTTGAAGATGAAAACTCATTGCTTCCTTAAACATTAAACATTAAACGTATTAGACATTAAACGTACTTTTCTATAAGGACAGTGCATGTTTTGAAAATAATTAGAAAAAGGTGCTTTAGAACTCATATAAGCACAACACCTCTCTGCCATTCATTTTCAAGAAAAGTACATTCCTATTTTCTTCCAATATGAATGGTTAATTGTTATATAATATGCTATTTTTATGAATGATCTGTGAATTTGGTGATATCTATAAAATATCTCAATTGTATAAGTAAGATAGATGGAAATATATTTTATTTTGTATGTTTTGAATGCTCTCCCTTTTCTCTTGCACCAGAAAAAAATATGATATTTTTTTCCGCAGAGGCATGAATATTCTTTCAAATGCAGTTAAAGCAGAACTAAGCCTCTGTACTACAGGAATTTAGGAATATCTGCTACATTGGCTTTAAACATTGCCTTATTCTCTTTAAGAACTTTGTGATGTTGAAACCCATGGGAAAACAAAGCGATGAACAAATATTAAAGCATAATGGAGTATAGGATTCTTTGTTTATTTATTGGCCAAGTGTGATTGGACACACAAAGATTTTGTCTTGGTGCATATGCTCTCAGTGTACATAAAAGAAAAGGATTTATATCCTAAACAAATGACAAACAAATAAATATTTATTTTTCATATTTTTACTTTAATTAAATCATATCAAAGAGCAGTCATATTATTACACCTTACCTTAAAGCTACACGATATTTCTGTCCCAATTTCTCAATTTCAGCCATGACACAATCTGTGATACAAGGAATGCCTGCAGAAATACACATGTGTAACTATCTAGCACTGAGACAAAATTTTACATAAAATACTTAAACTCCTATGTATAGTTTATTGTTTTTATTATTTTAGTAAGTATTTTAATGAAAAGGAGAAAAGATATATACATAGACCCAAAAATAAAAAAAACAAGCAAGAAAAAGTACATAGATAAATGACGGATTTATAAGTATAATAAATAAATAGGTTAAAAATGAAAACTTTTTATTATTAACTTTATTAGTAACTGTTTGTTAGTAGTGCTTGAATTGTTAAATTATTTTGGTGATACTATCTTCCATTGTATACAATTATACAATTCAGTATAATTATACAGTAAAAAATGATAAAACATTCAATTAGTAATCTAGAGACAAAAAGGCAGAAAAAAGCCTTACAACCACATTCTGTATTTATATTTAACTTTTAAAAGAAGCTTTTAAAATAGACATTCTTAATGCTAGAAAATCCAGATGTCTTAAATTTTATATGAAAGCTGAAAACTTCCAATAGACATTTCTTATGTTGGAGTTCTCTACTATGATTACAAAAATCTTACAAAATGAACTACATGTGATTTAATATAGAAAACACAAATAATAGAATTTCTGGGGCAAATATCAACAGCCTGTAATACTAATAATACTGCTCTGATGATTGGAAACAAGGACCTCCTAAGGAAACTCTTGCTAAGATGAACGCAAGAAGTTGGTCTGCTGTTCATTATTTTAAAAAAAAATTTCAAGAGCAAACCCATTGCAAGGAGAGAAACATTAAGAAAAATTGAAGAAATAGAAACAGAATTTTATCTCCCTAGGCTCCAAACATTCCAGAGACACAGCCATTAAATAAAACAATAGCTGATGGTCTGAGAGATATAGACAAAAGTATTACAGTTGACAGCACAATTTTCCCAGTTGCAACATATGACTACTAAAGCTGGACATCAGAAAGGCTAAATGAAGAAAAAGATTTTGGGCATGAAGAAAATTATTGAGAATATGCACTACAAGATAAACAATTAAGCATATTATCTAAAACAGGGGTGTCAAACTTGCGGCCTGCGGGCCAGATGCATCATGTGCTGGCCCCTCCCCCGCTCAGTTTAACGAAGGGGAAAAAAGTCCCGATATGCCACGTGATGCCGTGAATTTGGCACCCCTGATGTAAAACCAGTCTGTTCACTGACAGCATCAATAAAGAATCTAAAACTTAAAATATTTGGGGTATATAATTCAATGGTTAGAGAGACCAAAGAAGTTCCTACACTTGGAGAAATCAAAGGTAATTGGCAAAAGGGTAGAAAATATAAGATGGCTAAATAGGATCAGTGGATAGATAGGAAGGTTGAGCTTGCAAAAATTGAAAGAAGTAATTACACACATACTGTACAATCCTGGGAAAATATCCATCTTAACAAAATGGTGGTGCATATTATTTTTAGTTACCTAATAACATCTTCCTAGGAGCTGCCCTTTCTTTCTTTTCTTCCTTTTTTTAAAATCAGGATACTTTATAATACTCAAGTCTAATTCTTTTAGGAAACATGGAAATATTTGCAAATGTAGTAATAAAACAACCATTAAAAGTCAATGTAAATCTTAACAAATGATACAGATCTGGATTCTTACATTTGGCATAGAGACAATCCATCATTGATTGTACTAGATCCAATTTGGCTTTAATGGAAAAATTAATAAAATTGGTATCCACTAAAATGTAATACGGAGGTCCTAGTTGTGTGTTATATTGGAAGAATAAACACGAAGGATATTTGGGGCTGAAAAAGAGAAACATTGATTTTATTAATTTTTTTTACATAAAACAAATACACTAATAATAATATTAGTGTAAAGCAGAGAATAATATTGATCAAATATTTTTTGCATGGTCACATTATCTGTCATTACTGTGTTCTAATTAGGAGTTTTTCAAGCACAATTACAGAATCAGATTTCAAGGTAGTATTAAAATGTTGAAGAATGTGGTCTCTAGTCTTCTTCCTAAGTGCATAAGAATGCTTTTTGGAACATGTCATTGTCATGTGAGAGAAAATGATTGGCCCAAGGTAACTCAGCTGCCTGAGGTAAGACTAAAAAGCTTGGTCTTCTAGATTCTAGCTTCCTACCTTAACCATTGCACTAAAGTGGCTCTCATGTAGTTCTTAACTATGACTAAATCATATATATTGTAGTTCTTAGCTACAGGGTACCCCAATTCATTGTATGAGTTAAATTACTACATAACTTGATCTATGGAGTGTTGTATGAATGGTTCATGCATTGGAATGGGCATTAAACTAATCTTGCAGTGTAGTCCGGGGTGGACTTCAAAAATTTTAGTAACCGGTTCTCTGCCTGGTTGCTGGGTGGGCGTGGCCATGGCCTAGTCTGGCCTCCTGCACCATGGTGGGGGGGAGGGGGAGAGCGTTTTGTTCTCCCTGGGCTCCAGAGGCTTTCCTCAAGCCTCTGGGAGGGCAAAAACAGCCTCCCCAGGCTCCAGAGACCCTCTGGAGGCCAGAAACGGGACCCAAATTTTCCCCAAACTTCCGGGAGGCCTGTTTTTCGTCCTCCCTGAGCTTCTGTGAGGACCCTACACTTACCTGGGATCCAAAACAGGCCGTGTGGAGACTCCTGGAAGGGGTAGGGTGGAGCAGGCGGGGCCAGCCAAGGGTGAGATTTGCCGGTTCACCGAACCAACCATAAAATTAGCTACTGGTTACCTACGGGTTTGCCTGAACCGGGGAGAACCATAAGCAGCCCACCCCTGAGTGTAGTCCTTTAGGTGAAAGAATAACTATTGTACTAGATCTAAGCAGAGTATCATGAGCTCTTTAAAATATATTAATGAGTTTGAAATATTATTACCCAAATTGTAGAGAAAATTGTTTGAACTTAGATGTCAAGCTTTGAAACCTGCTCAGGCTACTTTCACTGTTCTCAGCTTACCAACAAACTTTTGGAGAGGCGGAGCAATACATCTTACTGTATCTTCCAAAATATATATTTTTGATTATTTAATAATTTGGTACTCACACTTCTGTCTCTTTGATGGCACTGGGATCTTCTTTCTTTTTTTCTTTAGCTTTTGCTCGGTCTTTCTCTTTACTAAAGTATCAAAAGATTTACAAATATATATTGTGAAAATTGACTAAATTACTCAGAGGCAAAATTTGGGAAGAAATACATATAATTAGTATTAAAATTTGAGTATTTTGAATTAAATACTTCAACAATTGTCACCATTAGTGTTAACAAAAATCTCACATGCGCTGATCACGAAGGCTGATCATGCGTTTCATGACAGCATATTTCCTTGCTTTCTTCTGTTTCCCCTAGAAAGAGAAAGAAATGATGGAAAGTCTTCACTACTGTTACAAAGTCAAGCTATTACCTAGTAGATTAATTGTAGATACTCACTCCACTCTTCAATTTCATAATAAAGAAATGAAATCTTTTGAAATAATATTCAAAATGGTCTTAAGATTGAGAAAGTACGTGAGTGCTATTATGATAAATTTGAAATGTTATTTCAAAATAATTTTAAGACATAAGAAATTAAGGACACAATAAAATGGGATAGTTTAAAACTCATTTTTAGGCAAGATTTCTGTAGTAAGGATGAATGCTTTTGCTATAATTTAAATATTTGTTTCAAACAACTTGTTTTGACAACTGATGTGCAATTCAAACAATGGCAGAAAGATATAACTATATGGCAAGGGAAAAACCCATGAGTGAAATTTAAAGTGTTATAAAATGCAAAGGAAAGAGGAGGATTGAAATTGTATTTTGCAGCTTGTGGTTTGTTTTGGATAAAAGAAAGGGTATAGCTGAGAAACAAGAGTGTTTTAGAGTTAGAAGACCGCTACTTGAGGTTTGGATGGCATGGATACCTTTGGTGATAATGTGAATTTTAAAAATCATTTTATTAGATGTGCCACATCAAGAAACCTAAGCTGTGCATGAAAACACTTTTATTCCTCTCAATACAAGAAGCATTTAAGAGAAGAAATAATACCGGTAGACAAAGATAAATGTTATTTGTGAGATACTAGAATTTTACCAAGTTTATCAGTCATAGTTGTCAATGTTTTTCTTATTTACAGTTATCAGAAATATTCAAAATGAATAAAAATACTTATGGTATAGACTAGCAAAGTTACACAAAATTTGAAGTACAATTGTGTACAGATGATGAATGTGTAATTGCTAAACTGTATAAACTTTTGTTGAATTTTGAAATGGGAAGAATAAATATATGATAGAGGCGGCTAATAATTTTTGTTACAATATACAGAGGAATCAGTGAGAAATTATGTGGTTAAGAGTTGAAATTTATCTTAAACAGAATTTTTGTAAAATGATTATCACTGGCATATGACACCAGAGAAATTATCTAAAATGTATAAATGGATTTTAAATGTATGTTGAAAATGTGAACATGAAAGAACATTTTATCATGCTTTGGGGACATGTAAAAAAAGAGATTCAAATACAATGTGAATCCTTGACTTATGATCACAATTGAGCCCAAAATTTCTATTGCTAAGCAAGATAGAAGTGAATTTTGCCCCATTTTATGAGCTTTCTTGCCACAGTTAAGTGAAATCACTGCAGTTGTTAAGTTAGCAACACAATTGTTAAGTGAATCTGGCTTCCCCATTGACTTTGCATGTTAAAAGTCACAACAGATTATCACATAAATATGAACCGGTTGCCAAGCATCTTAATTTTGATCAGCTGATCATGGGGATGCTGCAATGGTTACGTGAAAAACGGTCATAAGTCACTTTTTTCAGTGCCATTGTAACTTTGAACTGTCACTAATCAAATGGCTGTAAATCAAGGAATACCTGTACATATATTAGTACAAAGGATTTTAAAGGTTAGTATTCAATTGAAACCATAACCTTTCCTTTTAGTACTGAGGGATAAACAATTAAAGTAAAAATCAAAGAGTTTCAATATATGATTACTGTGGCAAGATCACTATATGCACAAGATGAAAAGATTGGATATTATCCTCCATGGCCAAATGGAGAAGTTGACAGAATGTGCTGAGATGGACAAGTTGACTTCTTTGATTGGAGAATGGACAATATCTAAATTTATTAGTGACTAGAAATCCCTCATGAATTTTTGAAGACAGTCGTGATGTTAGAAGCCACTTTTTAATACTTTTATATTTTTCTTTGTTTTTTTTTTCTGAGAGGTGATGTAGCAGTGGTTAAGTGCAATACTGCAGGCCAACTGCCCACAGGCTGGAGTTCGATCCTGATGGGGCTCAGAGTCGACTCAGTGTTCCATCCTTCTGAGGTCAGTAAAATGAAGACTCAGATTGTTGGGGGCAATATGCAAACAATGTTTACATTATAAGCTACCTAAATAATATTGCTATTCTACTTTTTTCCTTGTTGAACTTTTAGTTTTTTGTTATTTCTTTTCATTTTCTCTGTTCTCCTTGTATTAGTTCTTATTGTTGCTCTTAAATCTTTTAATAAAATTTTATATAAATAAAATAGTATTCCATTCTATTTATAGTTTAAACTGATAATGTCATACTATGCTCATGCCACCCAATTCACTTTGGAGCATTAAGATACTGTCCAGATCAGATCTGAACTATCAGTGAGGTGAGAATAGCAGCTATGGTGAATAAATAATTAACCCTATTTAACACTCATAATAGAAAGGAAGAAATAGTAAACCAAAGAAATTAAAAGTAACAGGTAAAAAGAGCAAAAACAGGTAAATAGCTGACATTTTCATCCTTATGTCTTTCCTTTCCCCTCAATTCATTCACTTACTTCTCACATCCTAGTTATTCTCTCTATATGACCAAGCCACTCCAACTGTATTTTCATTCAATTGTTTAATTCTTGACAGTATCCCTTTTTGTTTTTCACACATATTCCTTGTTATTTTATTTCCAGTTTATGCAACCCTTTGTTTTTGGTTGTATGCCAGCTCAATTCAAACCAAGTTGTCATACCATTTGTCACTTTTTTTCTAAATCACCAAACATGATAGAAACTTTTCACATTCATATATTTCTCAGTGATCTTCTGAAGAACAAGTTTTTCTCTTTCCTGGAAGTTTAATGAAATTCACAAGAACAGTCCATCCGTCTTTCTTCTAGTGTTATATTTTCTTCCTTACATTCTTTAATTCATGTACCATATTGGTCTTCCATTACAAACAATAATTTTCCAGGTTGCTCATCAGAAGGCCCAATAAATATTGATCTCTGGCATTCATCATGGTTTTGGTCCACTGAAGCTTTTGCATGATTATTTTGATTATAATAAAAAAATGACTAGATTACCATTCTTAATTGTGCCCATACTATTCTCTATTAACAGTAAGGGCGTTATGTTAATTGATCTTGGCATGATGTGGCCAGTATATCCCAGGGAATGGGACAATTTAGCACAGCCAATTCCCCATGGGACAATTTACCAATTCTATTTAAAATGAATAAAAATTATTTAATTTTTGCCATTCACATTTCATTCTGTCCCTCCTTTTGTATCATTTCTTTAATGATTCTATTCCATCCATTCTTTGATATTAGTGTAACTCTTGTCTTGCAGCGAGTTGTCCTGTGGTGAGATGGCCGTGGCTAAGTTGGCTGTGGCAAATTGTCATAGACCCTATATCCGATCTTTATCTTTATACTTTGGAAACTGATTAGAATGACACAAAGTGCAACCTTCTTCCACCCTTCCGCACTCTCCACTATGGCTGGTAGGATGGGAGTTGGTGAACGTCGCTCAGGGCAATTTTAGAAAACCCCCTTTTCTTTATATATACCAATTTATTTCTTTTATTCACATTCCTTCTCGGCGTTAATGAGCCTCCATAAAATATAATGAGATTGGGAGCTGAGTTCACACCAAGCCACATAATGTAATAGCCAGCTGTAGGAATCCAATAAAATTGGAGAGCTGCTTTGGTGTACCTTTCTTTTCCCACCGAGGAGCTACCACAAGGTCACGCATATGTCCAGCCACCCGAGCCATTAAAACTAAAGCTCTCTCTGTGTTAGAGCTCTAAGACCGAAGATCGAGACTCACCATCACCCAGTTTCCACGATCCAGCCGCTGCGGGCAACACCGCTAAATTTTTTTACAGCTACTTCCGCCGCGCGGCACACGTGTCCCGCTTTTAGTACATCACTTCCGGTCATCGCCGTCACAGGGAGGCTAGAGCAGCCTGGTTCTGTTTTTGCTAACGGAGTGACAGAGTCACGACCGACTGTTTGCATTTTTTCAGCTGGACTTCCTCCTCCTTGCTCCGTTTCGCCTGTTCCTCTGAGGCGCCGGGGTCCCTTCAGGGGAAAGCGAGAAGCAGGAGGACCTGGTACGGGGACGGGAGGAAGTAGCCGCAGCAGGAAGAGGGCGGTCCCCTAAGAAAATCCTCCCCCTCCTTGAAGAAACGGGCAGCCCAGTCTGCCTTTTTTACTTTCGTTAGTGCAGGCGGTAGGATAGCTGGGAGCGCCGAGGAAGCAACAGGTGCTAGGATCGACCACAGGTTAAAATAGGTTGCGGGGGGTCTCAGCCGCAGATAGGAATCCTGCCAGTGGACTCGTTTGTTTGCAAACTCTCACTCTTACCAGCTGGGAAGAAGAAGGAGGAAATTTGACTGGGGGGGGGGGGGGGCTTTTTGGTCCTCTCGCTTTCTTTTCTTTCCTTCCCTGGCACGAGGGTATTTTCCTCTCCGTCCGAGAGAAGAGGGAAAAGCGGTGTGTTGCTACAATATCCTCTCCCTCTCGGGTGTTAGGAAAGGAGGAACTGGAAAGTGGTGGTACCCTTAAATTTATCTCTTCATAATTTCCCCTTGGTTTACAATTCTCCCGTTACTTTCCATTTTAAAATTTGTCCTGTTAGGCCAATTAATATTTTTCATTATTTGATTTGGGAAGGTACTTTTTATGGTTTGCAGATAGCCTCTTTAGGTGGTGTTTTACTTTTCAATGCTGTTTCATGCAGTGAGGTATTTTTCATTGTTCTGGAAAGTGGTGTTCAATTCTAATGTGGTTAGTGCCAAAATTGCCCTGCATGTCAGGCTAGTAAAGAACTACTGGTTAGTATATGACTTGGGGGGGGGGGAGACTAAAAGAATATTTCTGTTACAGGGTTTCACCCTCTTTAAAGTGTTATAAGGAATGTCAACAAGCTAAGTTACAATTGGTTGTCTTTGAAGGTGGTATTTCATTGTATGAAGTATATTATAACTTGCCCTATAGAATTTGTCTTACACTGATCTTGGTTTTGTGAAATTCAGAGAAAAATTAACATACAAATTGCAAGATTTAGTCTATTGGATTAGTCTATTAGTCTAATTAGTCTATTGGATCACTTCCAATTGATTTCTTATTAACTTTCATTTATGATATTCTTGTATAATATAGTTATCAGATTGGTTCTTGACAGATATTACTTCATAAAATAGTAATTTCTAGATACATATTTGTTTTTCTTACTTGTGAAGTTATACTTGCAATATATGTATATGCTAATCCACTTGGTTACTTGAACTAAATAATAATTGGTTTTAAATGAAGAATAATTGATTTAAGTAGGGTTACATTTTTCATCTATTTAAAAACTACCCCACTTTTTAAAAAAATAGCAAATTACTTAGGTGGATCTAAAACAGGCCAAAGTAAAATTATTGTGATAAGTATTGATTAATGAAAACATTCCCAGTATTTCATATTTTATAAGCAGCAGTATGGCAAGTGAAGTGATATTTCCACCTGGTAATTTTGAATCTATTTTGAAAATTCAGCAGAGCTCTGATTATGTTTATCCAATTGTTCACTTCATAACTATTAATTGCCTATATCTCCAAGGAGCTTGGTTAGTATATGAACAAATGTTTAATTTTGTATTTTAAGTACTTTATGTAAATAGTAGTAATATTTTTCAGTTTTGGTGCTCAGATTTGACCTGGAACCACTTGCAGTATTGTGACATAATCTCACTTTATTTACGGACTGCCTGCAACTTCCATTTCCTGATCAGGAATATTTATAATAGGGAATCTGCATCAATGTTATGATAATCACTATACAAAATCATTCGAAAGGTACAACTGGCAATGGTTTCCCAGCATATATGATGACATATGGTGGAACAGCATATGCCACTATGCTTGTGATTTCAGCATTTCCTGCATGATAATGATTTCTGGGTGAGAAACTTTGCCTTGAGTCAGACTGCTTGTTACTAATAAGCAGGTGGTAATGTAAAATAAATATTCACTGAGATATAATATTAATAATTGTGAAGAAGTCTTAATATTGAAAAGTGTATTGTCAAATAGAAAGTACGTGTGTAGAAGAAAACATCTGGGTTATTTCACACTCCTTTCAGATTGTTTCATTTGTAGAAATTGATTATAAATATTGTCAGTTATTGTAATCTTTCAAGGATCTACTCTCTGTCATTCCAGGATACTTTTTAACAAGAAAAATTCTATTTTTTTTGCAATTTAATTATTTTCTTTTGTGAACATTATGTTTCTGTTGGTGAAGTCCAGAACTGTGTAGCTTGTTTAAGCTTTTGCATCATAGTGGTGATTCTGGTTCAGTTGATGATTATCTAAAGCCTGCAGATTCTTATCTGTTGTATTATGGATATCAATGCATCAATTTTTCCTACATATAGTAAAAAAAATTTCCCCCTATTGAATGGACTATTTAGTTTGTTTATATTATGATTTGATCCATAATGTCAGTTATCAATTAAACTTATGAAGCAAGAGCTGCAATCATCTAATTCTGATCATCTGCTTATCCTGAATAATTCTTGCAATGTATACCGTTTCTGTTAATGATTCAATCATTTTATTAGCTTCCTTGGTTGTGTGGACATCCATAAAGATTTCCAGGCAAACTGGAATAACTTGCCTATATTTGATCAGTCTTGCTTGGAGAAATGTCAGAATCTCATCTCTGCACTTTTTTTTTTTAACAATTGTATTCAAAAAAATTTAAATAATCAGAAAAACTTAATATAAACTAAAGTAGAATAAACAAGGAAAATCCAGAAGTTACAGAAAAAAGAAAAACATGAGAAAATATGGAAAAGAAAAAGGCAACAAAGATAATAATAATAATAATAGTAATAGTAATAATAATAATAATAATGAAGTGACTTCCAACTTTCATCACACTGCGCATAAGCTAATGTAATAAAAATTTCACCCTCTTCTAAAGTTACAAATAAAAGAACCCTCTTTTCCCCTTATTTGTACTTTTATCTTTATACAATCCATTAGAAGTTACCAGAAATATAAACAAATAATTTATCCCTCATCCAATAGTCTAACTTTATATTCTTTATTTTTGCTGTTCACAATCTTAATTTTTAAATCATTCTAATGACATCAGAGAATTTGACCTTTCATTCATCCTTGGCATTCAAGAATAACCTTCAAAGTTGTGTTTCTGTGTGTGTGTACACAGGCACACACAACACATAACTTTGAATATATGTATGCATGCTGATGCCTTTGGATAAAATGAGTTAGCTGGAAGAAAGTAAGATAAGAAATTCTTGAATTATACAGTATATAAGATACCTTAATCTACCGTAGAATTTTATAAAGTTTATATTTCTGTTAAATTGGGTCTTAATTCGTTTGGACAATCAGCACAGAATATTCAATAAACCACCTAAACCAAAGATGTAGCAAGCAAGTGAAAAGACTTTATAAATTATTGGCCTTTCTATTGAAACAGCAAGAACTAAATATCATTTTTACTATAGATGCTTAAAGAAAAGCATGCAATAACCTGTTTGACATCAGTATTTTTTAACTTTATTAAATTGAGAAAGAGGTTAGTAGTACAGAAATTAATTAATTTTAAATGAAATAGCTCTTCTAAAGAACACATATGACTGTGTTTTTTTTATAATGATACTGTGAGAACAGGACAAACTTCCTGATCTTATGCTTATCCTATTTAGTGGTATTGAACATATATTATTTGGTGGATTAGAATACTTTTTTAAAAAAATCCATTTTGCGGGGAGCAAAGTTTATTTATTGTACAAGCTTTAGCATGTGACTCTTATATAAGACTCCAAAGCAGGGGTGGGCAAACTTTTTGGCTCTGTGGCCTCATTGACTTTTAAAATTCGACAGATGGGCCACCACCTGGTGTCGAAATGCCTGTCATTACAAGTCAAAATCAAATGAATGCAATCATTCAATCATTCACATCAAACCTTAATTCTGTACCAATCTTTGGCGGGCCGGATTAAAAAGACTAACAGGCCGGATGTGGCCCATGGGCCGTAGTTTGCCCACCCCTGCTCCAAAGTATTATCCACAATCATCCCATGCCTTCTGGTTTTATAGAAAATAACAAAGATTAGATAATATTAGATAACTAATTAAAATTCTTGATATACATTCAGAAAAATTAGAATCAGCAAAAATTATTTCACTAGGTTTGGAAAAGGAATTTTTGAAGCATATCGAAGACAATTGATTATGGCTAATCCTCAACTCACAGCCAGTCGCTAAGCAACTGGTCAAAGTTACAATGGACCCCCCAAAAGGGACTTATGACCCAGATGCAAAGACCAGATAACAGACACCCTTACCTCCATATGTGATTGCATTTTGGGTGCTGAGTAACTGTATGCATTCATGGCTGTTTACAATAACCAGTTGGTCATGTGACTGCAATTTGTGATGTTTTTGCAGGAACTCAGGGTTCCAATTTCTAACCAAAACTGCCCTACATTGAACAATGGATTTGCATACTGTGGCCTTCACTTTATGATTATAGTATTATTTATTAATTGATTTGATTGCTACCTCTCTTGCCTCAAGGCGACTCTTGTTTGTTTAATGATTGCCGCCAAAAGGTTGTAAAATTGAGTGCAATCATGCTGTGACCTGCTTTGTGGCCTTCATGACTTACAACCAAAACTGTGAACTTGGTCATAAGTCAAGGATTATCTGTACTCTGAATGCTGTTTAGAAGGTACTACAGCTTTCTTCTGCCCTGCATCATTTTACTAAAGTGATGAGTCCTTTGCTGATGCTTGGAGAAGAACCATCACCATTTCACTTCATTTGCATGGAACATGCATACCATTGTAATTGCCTTTCTTTCCTGTTCAATTCATAATACATCTGTCAGCTTGTTAGATCCATGTCTCCTTCATTTGAAGCTTGATTCACTTGTATCTTGGTAACAGTTCTGGAGTGGTTTGCTATATAGCCCTTTTGTGGGACCTTTTAACCTTTTTAGTTGCCCCACACAAAATGCTGTGAGGTTAATCTATTATTTGTGAATGTATTACTAATCTGTATAAAGCAAAATACCACTTACGCATCATCACAAAATCTCCAGAACAGTAAAGCCTACAAACTTGAAATTTGGCACATATGTTCCTCTTGGCTTCTAGGTGCTCACTAACAAAGGATTTTTCAAAATGACCATCAGAGCATTAGTATTTCCTATATTATTATTAACACACACTGATGCTAAGGAGTTCTACTCCCCCTCCCTACCTGAAAAGAAATCTTTTCCAACTGCAGTTGAGCTAAGCCATGCCCAGGCTCCTTGCTGTTTCCTTTTTGCTCACACAGCAAATACTGTTTCAGTTTCCAAACAGCCCTGAACTCTCACACACTGACAGGACGCTAGCCAGATGAATACCAATGGATGCTGGTAGGCAGAGGCACAATGTCCCCCCTTATTTTCCTCCCCAAAACTTGCCCGATAACATAGTTTCATAGTGAAGCATGGGTACCCTGCTAGTTATAAATAAGAGTCAAGTGAGAACCTGCTTTATTTTATACTGCTTCTGTATGATCATAACACCTTTTTTCCTCACTGATGTTTTGATAGGTCTTTGGCTCTCATTTAAGAATCAAAGAACGACTGTTTTTTACCTGATTTCTTGTTTTTTTTTAATCATATGTAATACATATAATGATTACAACTACTTGTATTCATTTCAGAAAGATGATTTGAGAGCTTCATGGTCTGATAATGCATAGTGCCACTTCTTGGGATGGTCACTTCATTGCTACATTTGATTCCCTGGCTCTAAGTTCCTATTGTGATTTCCAGGATCCTATGTGTACTGCCTGGTGTCTATCCTGAATAAAAGTGCAGAGGAATGGGCACTCCCACTTTGGCTTTGTGGACATGGGAGTTTGAATAAAGGTAATTCTTTCAGTTGGCTGGAGGGATGTGGAACATGCTTGTGCAGGCTGTGAAGCAAGGCTTGGTAAAGAGAATAGGAATAGATCCAGTACAGATTTCCAACATAATAGAAAGTGTTACTGTTACTAGGTGGCATTATTGTAAGATATTGTGCTTATAAAATGTAATAGCAAGTCTCACTGTCCCCTGTTTTGACACAACTGAACCCTGTTTTCTTGGTAGCAAATATTTAGATTCCTCTTGCCATGGGATTTGCTGGCATCTACGCTTTGCTTTGGTATCTTGAAGATTTAAATAATAAATAAACAAATAGCAGAACCTGGGTGAGGATGGGGTACAGGATGGATGGGTAGATGGATAACAGAGCCTGACTATTGTAGATTTTTCTTTTATATGAGAAGGAAGATGAAACCATTTTCATTCGGCACTTTGGATCCTGAAATCTACAGTATTCTTCAAGACTATGTTTTATCTTTTAACAAGCAAGATGTTGCTAATGAAACATTTTGTATTCTACTGAATATTCAGAACTTGGATATCTAAAATATTACCTTCCCCATAATGATATTCATAAGAATTAAAATCTTAGTTTGGTGCCTTTCTTAATCTGTCAAAGAAAGAAATCTCTTCTACATACACAGCCTCGGTGGCGCAGTGGTTAGAATGCAGTATTGTAGGCTAATTCTGCCCACTGTCAAAAGTTTGATCCTGATGGGGCTCAAGGTTGACTCAGCCTTCCATCCTTCCGAGGTGGGTAAAATGAGGACCCAGATTGTTGGGGGCAATATGCTGACTCTGTAAACCACTTAGAGGGGGCTGTAAAGCACAATAAAGTGATATATAAGTCTAAGTGCTATTGCTATATGTATATCTTGGTATTCTCTTCTTTCTTAGACCTGATTTATTGACAGTTTTCAGCTACCTGGCAGACCTTTCTGCTTATTAAGTATTAATATTCTAGGTGGTAATCTTGATTTACAAGATTTATTTAGGCTTCTGAGGTCTATTGGATAATTGTTATCTTAAAACCTTCTTAATCTTTGAATATTCTTCTAAGTGTAAAATGAAGAATGAGTGGAACAATTTGGTCTAAGTTTGTTTTTAGAATTAGAGATTAGGAGGATCATGATGCCATTTCTTGAAAAAGTGTAGTATTCGAAAAACAATAAATAAATAACTAAAAGTGTTCTCAGATTATTGCTTGTAGTCAGTTTTTAATGCTTAAAACTTCTTGTATTTACAAAAGCTACAAATGAGCTCCCCTTTAAAAAAATGAAATTAAAAAAATGAAATTTAAAGAATCAAATAATGCTTAGTGTGTTTTGTGAAGACCAAACATTTTTTAGATCTACCTAAATTTTTTAATATGTACAAGATCTGTTTTTTTTCTTTCTAGATGCAGCTGTAATCCTCAGCTGTGTGTCTCATTGAAAGGACCTAATGTTTTACATTATTGGTAAGTGAAGACAATCTATTCATAGAATCTGAAAGGAACCTTTGAGATTTTGTTCTTTTAACTTACCAGTAGTCCTCACCTTATGACCATTTGTTTAATGGCCGTTCAAAGTTACAACAGCAGCCTCGAAAAAAGTGACTTTTGTCCCATCCTCTATGTCTGGACTGTCAAACTTGATTTCATTGAGGGCTTCATCAGGATTGTGTTTGACCTTGTGAGGGGCAGGGGGCATGGCTAGGGTGGGAGTGGCTAGCTTGATGTTACTCCTGTCAAGGGCGCCTGTGGTGGTCTGAGAACTGTGTCAGTGAAAACGGACTCCCAAGCTCTGTCTTTACCTACAACTGCTTCCTGCAACCCTCTGCCAGCCCAAAACAAAGTTTGGGAGGGCCACCCACGGCCCTCCTGAGCTCCATTTTCACTAGCAGAGGCACTGCGGGCAAGTCCATTGCTGTTTCCAGGGCAGCCCTGCGGGCCAGATCTAAGCACCCTGTGGGCTGGATCTGGCCTCTGGGCCTTGAGCTTGACATCCCTGCTCTATGTTACGACCATTGTACTACTCCCATGGTCACTTGTTTGCAATTTGGATGTTTGACAACTGGCTCATGTTTACAGTGGTTCCAGTGACTCATGTTTACAATGGTTGTAGTCAAATGATTATTGTGACTACAACTACAAGAATTTGTGAACTTCCCAGCTGGCTTCTGACAAGCAAAGTCAATTGGGAAAGTTAGATTTGCTTAATGACTGCATGATTCCCTTAATGGCCACATGATTCACCTAACAACTGCAGTAAAAATGATTGTGAAAATTGGTCACTTGAAGACCCACTTAATGACCAAAATTCCATGTTGCTAATTGTGGCAATAGGTCTGCAATTGTAAACATTACAGTTGAGCGCAACATTTCTATTGCTAAGCAAGGCAGTTGCTAAGTGTATCTGCTTCTCCACTGTCTTTGCTTGTCAGAGGGACCCTGCAACCATCATAAATATGAGTCAGTTGCCAAGTATCTGAATATTGATAATCTGACCATGGGTATGGTATAACCATCTTAAGTGTGAAAAACGTTCATAAGTCACTGTTTTCAGTGTTGTAACTTTGAATGGTCATTAAACAAAGTGTTGTAAGCTGAGGATTACTTGTAATACAAAATTGCCATAGTGATGGATTTTGAGAGTTTTGTTGGATCCTATAACTATTGTTTTCTGTTTGACAGGTGGGATCACAGTGGTATCTGTGGTAGCTTTCTTTTTCACCATTAAGTTCCTCTTTGAGCTTGCCGCACGTGTAGTCAGCTTCCTCCAGCATGAGGACCGGGAACGTCGAGGAGAAAGGACCATTTATGACTATGTGCGAGGCAATTACTTGGACCCCCGCTCTTGTAAAGTCTTCTGGGATTGGAAGGATCCCTGTGAGGTGGGACGTAGTATGGCCTTCCGAGTGCATGTAAGAGGAAATTTCCAATTCTATGATAATTCGAGCAAGCGCAGAACGGAAAATCCAGGCCATCAGAGTTAAAAACATGAATAATTTGAGTAAACTCTGGAGACAGTGGAGGGTAGGGAGACCTGGCATGCTGCTATGGTCCATGGGGTCATCAAGAGTCAGACATGACTTAGCAACTGAACAACAATAAAACTACCGTGTTTCTCCAACAGTACAGCCTCCACTAATAGGAAGCCCCAGCATGATTTATTGGCACAAAATCAAATTAACCCCCCCCCCCGAAATTAAGGCCCATATTAAACATGCGAAATGGTGGGGAATGGTGGTGGGGGGGCCTTGCCGTTAGGAAGTACTTTGTTGCATGCCCGGATATGGTGCTGCCTGCATTGGTGGGGCACTTCATATCAGGAGACCTTCCACCACCGTTGCTTTCCCTTCTCCCTTGCTGCCGCGGCATTAGAACAACGCCGCGGCATTTGGCGCAGCCACGTGCAGCCAGTCAGGGCTCCTCCCTGCAACCGGAACCCTGAGGAGAAACTTGGCTTCAGGCGCTCCTGTCACCACCTTCCCTTTGCCTTTGAAGGTAAAGCGAATTATTTTAAAAACCTCCGCTCATCCCACCAGGGCCGCGCCGGAGCCGTGCGGGCTGGGCAGAGCTGGGAAAGCGAGCCGTGGGTGTTTCCTGGCTCTGCCCAGCCCGCACGGCTCTGGCACGGCCCTTGCGGGATGAGTGGAGGGCCCAGCGGGGAGGCGCTCGCTGCCTTGGTGAGAGCTCTGCCGCCGGGCAGGAGGGCCCGCCTGTCAGCTGCGCTGGGCGCCCCCAGGTGGAGTGCAAAGAGCCCGGCCTTATTATGTGAGAAACACGGTAATTTTTTAAAAAACTAATGAGGGTGATTTTTTTTCCTCCTTTTTCTCCTGCACTTCCTTTTTTGATATCGTGTTGATCATTCCCTGTGCTACAAATATGTTTAACTACCGATTTGATTACAGAGTTGTGTTTGCTGAATTTAGACATTATTATACTCTTGTAAGAATATATTTTTATTTCGTTGTTCTTTATTAATTTATCTTAATTGATGACTTCAAATTTGGATCTTACACTGTATGTATGTATATGCATGCATGTGTATTGAAGCAAAGATTTCCCTCATGACTTGTGTAATGTCAGCAAGATGATTTTAGTTTGCTGCATTTTTTAATGGCTGATGTAAGAACTTAATGCCTTCACAGTCTGCTATTCAATTAGCTTCTTAATTCCCATACAGTTGTTCTATAAAAATGGCCAGCCTTTCCCTGCTCATCATCCTGTTGGACTGCGAGTTCACATCTGCCATGTGGAGTTAGCAATAGATATTCCTGTCACCCAGGAAGTGCTTCAAGAACCCAGTTCCAATGTGGTAAAGGTGGCGTTCACTGTGCGCAGAGCTGGGCGGTATGAGATAAGCGTAAAACTTGGAGGCTTGAATGTTGCGTATAGTCCTTACTACAAAGTATTTCAACCAGGTAAGTATTGCTTAAAGCAAAAACAAGTATTGGGGATGATATGTTGGTGTTTATTATATTTATATCATTAATTTATGGTAAAATTTTAATAATAGACATACTGAAACATAGAATGCTTACTTAAGTAAAAGCCCTATTTTTAGTATAGTGGAACCATAAAAATGACAAATTGTGTTCAGCTGTTTTACAAATCCACTTTCTAGAATTTTTTAAAGACCTTTGCATTCCATTTTGTCCTGCATGAGGTAATTAATCAGGATAAATATGTTATTATCAGAATCAAGTCATACCATCATCCAACTGATGTACATAATTCAAGATTTCTTAATATTTTCCCTTTCACCAATATAGAAAATATGCCATGCACATGGGAAATAATACACTGATTATATTAGAAGATTAAGCAATAGTAAAGTCCTGGTACCTTGCTGCTACCATCACACTCATAGAACAAACCCTGAAATGAACCCTTAACTTGTGTTTATTGAGATTCATATTACCAATAGAAAAGAATATTTGTAGCTCAGGATTGAACTGTGGTGCTCTACGAACTTGTTTCTTTTCTTGGAGACATTTTGTTATCCAACTAGTTATCATTAGTGGTAGAAGAGAGTGGATTTGCTTTCTGTTTATATTTTGGTTCCTGTGTTGAAACAAACAAACAAATAGACAAACGAATCACCTTACCAGCAATCAGATAAGCAGAAAGATTGTGTACTTTGTGCTCCTCTCCTTCCCATCTTTTAACTCTTATTTGTTGTTGTTATTTATTGTTTAATTATTTTAATGTCAACCAGTTCTTATGTTTGTAAGCTGCCCATAGTTGCCTCAGAATGAAATGGGCACGCATTAATAAATAAATAAAAACAAACAAGATCAAACTAGACCAACAATCAAGTAAAAAATGCATCAATCAAGGAATTGCCAACTGAGACAAACAAGTTGACAAAGAATCACCAATATCAATTTCAAGGAACCACCAACACTGATAGGACAAGTCATTACTATATAAACAGAACAAACTTCACTATCACCACTGATGATGTTACCTACTTAGGTAATGAGATGTTTGCAAGAAAACAAGTTCAGAGAGCACTAATGACTCTACAGAGATTCACATTGTGCTTTTCACCACTATATTTTGCCTGTCAACATACCTGCTTAATTGCTTCCAATACCTTGTAAATTAAAAAGATGGAATAAACAATCCAGTAGAAAGAGGTTCAGAAGCAAACTTAACTATAAACTGAGCCATTGTATTCGCTGTAGTTGTCTGGAAATAATAATTTACCCAGTTGGTCTCCTGGTACAAATTCTGTCCTTAAATATGTAGGGTGCATTTCACCATGAATAATTTTATCCAAGTGAAAAATTCTGCCACATTCAAACTCTCTTTTCTAGCTATGTAAGTGTGAAATTAGTTCAGTCATATGTCCTTGAAAAATTGGGTTGACTCTGTATCTGTCACCATAACCCAGAAATAGTGATTTCTTCACTGTACATTTTGGGTGTAGAAATGTATGTTTGTTAGCCAACATTGGTTGCTTCATTTAGTATCAATCCTATTTCTACATCACTACATTTTTGCAAATACCCTCCTTGTAATTTTATAAGGGGTTTGTGCAATGTGTTTCTTATTTCAGGAATGGTAGTTCCCTCGAAAACCAAAATTGCCTGCCATTTCTCCACTCTGGTGCTGACATGTGGGCAGCCACATACTTTGCAAATACTTCCCAGAGATGAATACGATAACCCTACTAGCAACTCAATATCATTGATAGATGAGCACAATTACAGCCTCTCGATCCATGAAGTAAGTGGACTTTATATGTCTTCTCATGTAAAACTTCAGACCAGTGGTGGGATTCAAACTTTTTTACTACTGGTTTTGTGGGCATGGCTTGGTGGGTGTGGCAGGGGAAGGATACTGTAAAATCTCCATTCCCACACCACTCCAGGGGAAGGTTACTGCAAAATCCCCATTCCCTCCCCACTCCTGGGGGAAGGATACTGCAAAATCCCATTCCCTCCTCACCCCACTAACCTGCTTTCCAGCTCCATTCTCCTGTGCAGGGCAACAAAAGAAGACCCAGCCGATCAGCTGGGACTCAGGAGGCAGAGAATAGATGGGGGTGGTGCCAGTCAGAGGTGGTATTCTGAACCACTCAAAATTTACGCTACCAGTTCTCCAGAATTGGTCAGAACCTGTTGAATACCATCTCTGCTTCAGACCATACCAATGTCTCCTAACTCATACTTATTTTGTCTAGCTTGGCCCTCAGGAAGAAGAGCCTTCTGATGTTTTGTTTGAAAAGTCTGTGATGTCCAATCAACAGACTTGCCAAGTTTTCCTGAGACTCACCCTACTGCGTAGGGGTTGTTTCCATGCCTGCATCTCTTACCAAAACCAGCCTATTAGTAATGGAGAGTTTGACATAATTGTTCTCAATGGTAAGTGAATTGTTTTTATATTTTGTGTATAGAACTTTAGCTTGGTATGTAGTCTTCAAAACAACATTGTGTACTTCATACCACAGTTTAAAATCTGGGTTTCTCAAATCTAATTCTTGTATTCTGCATTTTGGCATCTCATTATCTTGTGTCCTGTTATAAGCATTTAAAACTGAAAATTGCAATATCATTATTAATTTGCTTGTTTTTGAAATTGTTAATAGTAAAGAGAGATATTTTAAATAAAAACATTATAGACTTTATTTCTTGCATTCCCTGAATAAGTAATTTAATTTTATATACATAAAGTGTTTTGGAATTTATAGTAGATATGCAATCTCAGCATATGAAATCTGAAATTTTTTTGGCAAATTATAAATGAATGATTCCAAGCACATGTTTACTAATTTAAAAACATCTATAGTAGAAAAGCAATAGGTTTGAGGAATTTGCACCTCATTTCCCACTTCTGCTTCTCTGAATCCATCTTCCGAAATATTGAAATGTACACATATATTCAATTGTTATCAGTATAGCCCTCTTTAGACATACATCTGAATGCATATGAAATTTAAGAATGTAATATATTTGGGCTGAAAATATTTGCAATGCCCCTCAGTTGTTCTTGAATGTTTATTCCTTCCCCTTTTGTCATGGAGTGGCATGATTTGAAACAGATAATGACTGGAAGAATAAGAAATAGTGGGCACAGCCTGTCACTCAACTCACATTAAAACCAACCCACTCAAAAAGTGCAATTGAACATTAAGCCTCTATGAAATAACCTTGCATACACATGTGCCTTCAAATCAGTATTGACTCCTAATGACTGCTTAAACAAATCTCTGCAAGTTTTTTTTGTAAGATTTTCGGGAGTGCTTTGCTTCCTGCTTCCTAGGGTTCTGAGTGAAAGATTGCTTCTCAGGTTGCTTCATGACTAGGGCAGGACTAGAACTCCTGATCTCCCGGTTTCTAGCCTGATGCCTAAACCAGTAACTAGATCAGACTGGCTCTCTATGATATACCGTATTCATTAAGAATAAAACACATGCACTGCAAAATAATATTTTGGATCCACAACATTTTAAAAACCCAGCTGCACAACTTGTGTTTCTATTCTGAGCTTTGCCTTGTATTATACTTTATACCTGTCTTGCAGAGGATGAAAAGAACATTGTAGAGCGTAATGTTTCTACCTCAGGGGTCAGTATCTACTTTGAAGCCTACCTGTATAATGCTAGTAGCTATACCAACACTCAGTGGCATCTTCCACCCCTGAATTTGGGCTCCTTTCAGCGGCGGCTTTCCACTGCTACTGAGGATGAGGATGAAGACTCTCCTTCTGATAGCCCGACCCCTGAAAAAGTGAAGAAACCCAAAAAAGTTTATTGCTACGTTTCACCTAAAGTAAGATATGTTTATCAGTTTTCCATTCAGACAATAACTATGTTTGCAACAGTTCTCATTGTCACTGTTTGGTATATTTCTAATTAGTAGTCATCTCTAGAATTGTTTCGATGTGATGATTATCAGGACAGGAGTATTGTGCTACAGTTTTTCTACAAGGCGACAGAATATTCATGTTGTCATGTCTCATCTCTGTGTTTGTTACAAATTTGAATTGTGGCTAAAGTCTACTTTAGATTATATTACTGAGCCGTGGGGGCACAGTGGTTGGAGTGCAGTACTCCAGGCTACTTCTGCTGACTGCCGGCTGCCTGCAATTTGGCAGTTCAAATCTCACCAGGCTCAAGGTTGACTTAGCTTTCCCTCCTTCTGAGGTAGATAAAATGAGGACCCAAATTATTGGGGGCAATATGCTGACTCTGTAAACCACTTAGAGAGAGCTGTAAAGCACTGTAAAGCGGTATATAAGTGCTATTGCTGTTTTGTTACATTAAAAAAGAATGAATTTGTTCAATGTTGACATCTTTTCAGAATGATGTATTCATGAAAATATGATTTCTGTTTTGTTTGCCTCAAAGCAATTCTCAGTGAAGGAATTCTACTTGAAGATTATTCCTTGGCGTCTCTTTACTTTCCGAGTATGTCCTGGCACCAAAGTGAGTTTGTAGAACTCCCTGCTATGTGGTGGGGCATGTTTTATTTTGAGAAAGTTTGTGGCATGAGGGGACTCAACTAGTTTGTTTCATTTGCAGGCCTAAATGAGATTTTTAGTTGGCATTTTAGAATACTCTAGGGAACTTACTATGGTGTTGTCCTGTACTATATCCTGCACCCTGTCATTCAACTTCATTCTCCTTGTAACTTTCTTTTTGTTCCCTGGGCAAACAGATTCATTCTGTGGGAAATGGAATTTATAAATCACCTTTTTTGTTAGCCAGTCCAGAACAAGGGGTCAGGCAAGAGAATATGTACAAACACTGCTAATTGCATTTGCTTCATGTGCTGTGCTTTCTGGTGAATGATAGTTCCTTCTTCCTCTCCCTCCCCTATTTCTTGCATTTCTTGGTGTTAGTTTTCTTATCATGGGCCTGATCCTGTACACAAATTGCTGACATTGGTGGTGGATGATGGGATCCAGCCTCCTGTGGAGTTAAGCTGCAAAGAGAGGAACATCTTGGCAGCCACTTTTATTCGTTCTCTGCATAAAAATATAGGTAAAAGGAGTCAGAGCAGAGGACTCTCTCTGCTGGTTGGTGTGTAATGAATTATAAGCATTTGTGCCATTGATAGATTTTGTATCATTCATTCATTCAATTTGCTTTCTGCCCATCTTGCTGCAAAGCGACTCTGCAAGGCGAAACTTAGTGTGACATTAATTTATAAATGTGAAACATGAGTAGAATGCTTTAACTAAAGCATGTATAAGTATAGAGCAACTATTAACATATAACCTTTCTAATTAATTTGGATATTTTTTTATTTGGAGAGATATTTACCTCCTCTCTGCATTTGTAAAAATTTTGTGGTTCCACAATGGGAAATGCAAACAGTGCTCTAACTTGTGGAACTTATGTGTGTGAATATTTGTTTGTGTGCATAAAAATTCAATGGGGAAAGAGGAAAAAAAAGGGTCAGAAAACATTAATGAATAGAAATGTTAATTCCCTATTCTATAAGATAGTGCTTAGGGATATTTTTGTCACAATTTGCTGTCTTATATAATGAATCATTGCAAACAGAATCTGTTATTTTAAGTACAATTTTGTTTTATTTTAATATTGGTATAAGTTTAATTGTTTTAATGTTGTGAGGTTCCTACAGTCATTTACTTGAGATGGGCAACTATATAAATCAAATAAATACAATTATGTATGATCTGCCATAGGTTGTCTGTTAATATATTTGAGATAAAGCATAACAGTTGCTTTAAGGCTGTTATGGCCAAGAAATCTCTATCTTGCAGTAAAAATGTTCATGCGGACTTTGAAAAGTTCCAGATATGACTCTGGGCCTATTCATTTCAGGAGGCTCAGAGACTTTTCAAGACAAAGTTAACTTCTTCCAGAGGGAATTACGTCAGGTGCATATGAAGAAACCTCATTCCAAAATTTCTTTGAAAGTTAGCCGCCTTAATCTTCTGGATTCAGTGAGTATGTCTAATGTAGAAGTGTTGGAAAACACTTATTCTAGAAAAGGAATAACAATAATATATAATTTAAAATATGTTACCCTTTAGGATACATTTTTTATAGATAGATAGATAGATAGATAGATAGATAGATAGATATTAAAAGTTTTAAAAATAAAGGTAAAAACTAATACAAACTAATAGAAAGTAACAAAGAAAAAAGAAAAAACTCAAAGAGAAAGATAAAAGTGTAAAAAAGACAGTTAGAAAAGAAAAAACATACAAAGAAATGACTTTTGTTTTTCTTTACAGCAGTTATATGTACAGCTATAAATTTACCTCTTTTTCTAAAGTTGCATCATGACTGTTTTCTATCATCTGTCTAATCATAGGTTCATTTTTTTCTGTTTTACACAAATTTTATACACAATTTTATTTGAAAATCAGTCTTACAATGTCCATTATCACAAAACTTGTTTGTCTACTTAAAATTTTCTGATAACTAAATAAAAAAATCCACTGGCAACTATATCCTTCTGCCTCTAATTGTTCTCTTGATTTTATTTTGTATTCCCCTTGATAAAATTCTGTATCTCGCAATAAAAGTTAGTCATTTGTATTTGCCTATTATTTCTTGTCTATAAAATGCTTCTTGGGCTGAGAACTACATAGTTGTTTTCAGACCTAACCTGAATTGTATCTATTCTATATACTTAAAATGGTACATCTAACATAAAGTCCACATTAACTTCGACATTATCATGCCACAACTGTCCATGCCACCTAAATCTCAGGATGTGCCCTTCTATCTCCAAAAGCCTTGTTATTTTTAGCAGCACACACTTTTTCAACCGATCCAAACAGCAAACCATAAAGTACAATTTCAGATCAGGTAGATCCAATCCTCCTATAGATAAAAGAAAGAAATTTGGGAGAAGATCTATACATTGACAGTATTTATAGATGAAATATCAGATTTCCTAACTCGTCTTGATTTTATTTTACTCAGACTCTGAAAGCCACACGGAATTTTTCTGTTTCTGATTGGAGCAAAAATTTTGAAGTGACTTTTCAGGATGAAGAAGGTATGTTAATTTGTTATGATATTGAAGAAAGCAAAATTAAAGTCTGCCTGTTGGCTTTCTGCAACCATTTTTTTTTTTTGTTTGTTTGTTTACTTACTTACTTACATTTATTGGCTGCTTATCTTACCACAGAGTAACTCTGGGCAGTGTGTATAGATGGATAGAGAGAGAGAGAGAGAGAGAGAGAGGGAGAGAGATAGTACTAGTAAACGCTACAATCCAGTAACAGATGGGGGGGAGGGGCAGAGTTGGGATCTGTTGTTAATTGACCTCCACTGTGATGTTTTCTCCATTGGGGTCCCAAGCTAACTGGAAGATCCAGGTCTTTAGGCTCTTACAAAAGCTCAGGAGAATTGGAACTGGGCTCACCGTGTTCCACAGGGCTAGAACAATAGCAGAGAAGGCCCTTTTCCTGGACCCTGCTAGCTAGAATTATCAGAGTGACAGGGTCACAGCATGCCTTCTCTGCTGGTATGGGTGGGACAGGCCAATCCCAATGGGATGAGACAGTTCCTCAAGTAGCCTGGACCCATGCCAACACCTTTAATTGCACCTGGAAATAGACTGGCAGCCAATGCAACTTGCAGAGAAGTGCTATTACATGGGCCATTCTTCGGGACCCAAGAACTGCCCGCACCATTGCATTTTGCACCAGCTGTAGCTTCCAAATGCTCTTTAAGGGTAGCCCCATGTAGAGCACATTACAACAGTCCAACCGTGAGATGAATAGGGCCTGAATGACTGGCAAAAGCCAAAATATCTATAGATTTCATTATATCGAACATTTTGGGGTGTACTTTCCAATATAAACAATTCTTATTTTACAAATAAAACAATAGTTGCCTGCATGGAAAAAAAACCTGACCTGTTGCTGAAATAGGTTTTAATTTGATAAGTGCTATTTGTTTTTTTTTAATGATAAAGATTTTATTTACAACTATGTTATTTCATTTATTTCAATGAAAAGAACAGTTATAAACTTAATAAATAAAAATTAATGGTAGAAAGCCACAGCAATAGAAATTTGGAGCATCATATTACAGTTGAGCACTGTGTAATAAAAGACACCATGTCTAGGAAAATATTTTTCTTTGATCACTGTATTCTTGAATGCATAGCCTCCCCTAAGATCTACCTAATTTTGTTTTTTGTTTTCCCCTTGCAGCCTTGGATTGGGGAGGTCCTCGTAGAGAGTGGTTTGAACTGATTTGTAAAGTTTTGTTTGACACAACCAACCAACTATTTACTCGCTTCAGTGATAATAATCAAGCACTGGTGGGTATCTTTCTATTTATCATAGTGGAAATACTGTATTTGTCTTTTACACACACACACACACACACACACACACACATTCAGAGTCCTATGACCAAACAGTTGCATAATTCTCCAAGTTCTAAGTCTAAGAGGTCACTCTAGTTCAGACCTGTTGTCCCTTTGACTGTCCCTGTCTAGTCTGTGGCAGCGATGACTGGGGGCAGTGCGGAAAGCAAAGGCAGCAGTGCGGCAGCAGCCCCACATAACATTTCTAGTTTCTTATGTAGCCCCTTGGGAAACTTAATTGTCCACCCCTCCTCTATTGATTGTCATTCTGATTGTGGCTTTCTTGTTTGTAGGTACACCCCAATCCTGATCGACCTTCTTATCTAAGACTGAAGATATATGAATTTGCAGGGCGCTTGGTTGGAAAGTGTCTTTATGAGTCATCTCTGGGAGGAGCTTATAAGCAGCTGGTGAAAGCTCGATTCACACGATCGTTCTTGGCTCAGATCATAGGATTAAGAATGCACTACAAGGTAAAATCGCTCTTAATCTTTTGATTTTCTTTTAGAAAATAAAGGCGAGATCAAGATTTTGCACTGTGTCTTAACTTCATTTACTATCTTGTCCTTCTTTCCATTTTGTTTTTCTTTTTAGTATTTTGAGACAGATGACCCAGAGTTCTATAAATCTAAAGTTTGCTTTATTCTGAATAATGATGTGAATGAAATGGAGTTAGTTTTTGCTGAGGAAAAATACAACAGAGCTGGACAGCTCGAGAAGGTGAGAAATCAGTTGTTGATAAATTATTGATCTTTTATTCTCATATTGCTGCACCATTGCTTTCTTTTTCATTGTTTATTCTATGGTTTCTTTACTGCTGTTTACACTTTTTTTCATTTCTCTGTTTTTATTGTTGTAAGCTGCCTAGAGTAGCCCCATAGTGAGATCAATAGTAAATAAATTTATCAAACAAACAAACAGGAAAGATACAACTTAGATGTCTCCCATTTAGAAGTGGGAAAACGATATCATATGAAACAGAAGTACTTTTTTCACCCAATGGACATTCTCTCATTTCTTTTCAGGTAGTTGAACTGTTAACAGGGGGTGCTCAAATGCCAGTGACCAATGAGAATAAAATATTGTACCTGAATCTGCTTGCACAATACCGATTAGCCAATCAAGTTAGAGAAGAAGTGGAACATTTTTTGAAAGGTAATGCACAAAATGTGATCTTTGTTTTGTTTTGTTCTCCTTTTCTTTTTTCCCCTTTTTTGTTTCCTCCAAAGTGACTATTGTTCAGTTAAGTTAAAAGAAAAGAAGAAAGTCAGGAAATCAGGGTTTTAATGCCCTTTGCAGGTTGTTGTGATTGTTTATCTATCTTGCTGTTCTCTTTTAGGTCTCAATGAATTGGTTCCTGAAAACCTCTTGGCTATATTTGATGAAAATGAACTTGAGGTGAGAAGTTGGACTGCTATCATTAAGACAGGAGCATATTCTCAGTTAAATATGAGACTGTAGAATAATTGGTGCTGGATTTCCATTTACGAATGATTGTCTTGTTTGTATAAAATATATGACTTAACCAACATTATTTTTATGCAGCTAAGGTAAATTTGCTCATGAAATGAGCTCCATTCTTAAGTATGGCTCCTGCTTCAAAGATCTTTCCAATCTAAGCTGGAGAAGGAAGTTGCAAGCATAGGCTACATGCACTTTGGAGAAATAGTGCCTTGCACTGCTTTTTAATAGTATTTTTTTCTTACTTTAAATTTATTTGGGTGCTTGAAATTGTATTCCACAGAATCTGGGTTCCCTGAAAGACCAAACACAAATCACTCAAATAGAGCCAGGGCTTATTTTTCTAAAGTTTAATGGTAGGGGTGCAGGTTTTGCAACTTGTAAAAAGTTGAAAACGCTGCCCCCTTCAAATTGCCATATACTTAATGCTTTATGGCAGAAAATCTACGGTGGTTTGGAAAGTACAGAGTTTTATATATATATTTCTATGACATCTGAGTAAATTCCTAGTTTGGAAAACTGAATCATTCTTTGAGCTTTAATTCACAAGTTGGAAATCTTTCCCTGTTGTAGCCATTTGCTCTCCATCTCTCACTTTGAAAATTTGTGCTGTTGAAATTTAGCAGAAAAAAGTGCAATTTGGGACACCGTAATTTTCACAAAATTTGGTCTTTATGTATATTTTAAAAAGGGGTTTTGTAAAAAGAATATTTTATAATATTTGTGAAAATGTTCAACTTCCTTGTCGTTCATTGGTTGGTATCATTTGGCTATCATGTAGGCAATTCAACATGCAATTAAATGTCCCTATTCTTAATTCTGAGCATTTAAGGTTTATGAATGATACATGGTTTGAAAGAAAAACATCAGAAGTTTGGTTTTTTTAAAAGAAAATTATGTTTATTTTTCTTCCAGTTGCTAATGTGTGGTACAGGAGATATCAACGTCTGTGATTTCAAAGCACATGCTGTGGTAGTAGGTGGTTCATGGCACTTCCGAGAGAAGGTAGCGTGACTTCCTTTCTCTATCTCAGATAATAGCAATGTTGATTTTCTGTGAAAAAGAGAACAATGCTTCATAAATTAAGGGAAGCATAATTAAAAGTGTAAGCTATGTTGCTGAATTTTTTAAAGACTTCTTTTTGTGTAAACCTAAAAATGTTCTTTAAACGTGTAAACATTACTTTCTTTGTAATTTATTTATATGTATCTGGGTGTGTATGTCACTTTAATTCACTTGTTAAAACACCTTCAGAATTGGCTATGGCCCCTAGGGTGATTATTTTGCTATAAATTTAGTAACGTACTCATCCCCCCGTTTAATAATTTGTCATTCTTCTTGTTTCCCTGACCTTTACTGTAACATCTAGGTGATGCGCTGGTTTTGGACAGTAGTGTCTAGTTTTACACAAGAGGAACTGGCTAGACTGCTGCAATTTACCACTGGTTCTTCTCAGCTGCCTCCTGGAGGATTTGCTGCACTTTGTCCATCTTTCCAAATTATTGCAGCTCCAACACATAGTACACTTCCTACAGCCCATACCTGGTGAGTATCTTCCAAGAGATACTTTGTGATCTGTAGCAAGCTTCATTGTGATATCACTGATAATTTTCACTGCTAGAGTGTTTTTAGCGATTTGCAGTGGTGTATTGTACTGTGAATAGTTAATACCTATTCTCTTGCATAGGAAACATTGAAAGCATAGGTTTTAATGTTTCACATTCTATACCATAAGCTGTGTTCTTTCTTTCAGTTTTAACCAGCTGTGCCTCCCAACTTATGATTCTTATGAAGAAGTGCACAAGATGCTGCAGCTGGCCATCAGTGAGGGCTGTGAAGGCTTTGGTATGCTCTGACACCTACTGGAGGAACCCACTACCTTCTTTAATTCTTCAGGGCAAAGCTCAGTCTTAACTTTACAGATCCTTCTCTTGCCCATCCGAAAGGCGGTAGAGAGCAGAGAAAGGCACCATGTGAATTGGAACACTTCAGAGTCTCACGCCGATCACTCCTTTCTCAGCATGGCACCTGTCATGAATTGGGGTTCACCTGTGGAGTGAGATTGGAGTTGTATTTCATAGGCATGATGTGCCTGGGATTACTGATTGGAGGAAGCACACGAAGCAATGTTGCAGCTTGGTACAGGAGATAACTAGGATAGTTATATAACTTGTTACTTTGGAGAGATGACCAGATGAGTTTGGGAGCCGTGAATCCCCAGATTACAGGAAGTCTTCATATCTTCCCATGCCTTGACTTAAGTTTTCATGTAAGCAATCCCCCTTTTACTTGGATGTTAAAGGAAAGCTTTAAATTTTCTTAACCACCTTGCATTGCATGCTGCCACTTGGTTCTGGTTGGTGAACTGGAGCACAAGTGCTGATCCTTGACAGTGATTTTGATCCTCCACCCAGTTGGTGGAGGAGGAACTGTTAAAATGATGGAAGAGTTTCCATTGATTTTTGCCAGTGAAGTTAGAGAATATTGTAGCTTTCCAGGTGCTGCAATCTCTCCTGTGGATGCTCACTGATTGATTGTGGAAATTTAGGCCCATGAGAGTTTGAATTCAGAAACTCTGTGGGAGCCTCTTGTTAGTAACCTCTGTTCAGGTAATGGTAGCAAAAATGTTGTTTCCGTGTCTTGAATCAGGCAGAGAGTAGTTAAAACAAGGCAATTATTCCAGCATTTTTCTTTCCTGTGTTCTGCATCAGAAGCATTCCACATGATATTTTTAGGAGATGATATTGAAGATGTTTACTATTGACACAGAGGAAATGGGCTTGCAATATAGTACACTACTGTTTGAACTAGGAGACAGTGGTGTGAGTCGTCCTATATTATTGATGAGTATTTTTCAGTTACAACACATTTAGCACTCTCACTTCCTTGGCAATAATGAGTGGGAATTCAGGGGTTCCAGCTGGCAGCTTAACCAATTTTTGTCAACAAAGCCAAAATCTGATTGGATAATAAAGCTTTTGAGTATTTTATTGGCACCTAAAGTGCATTTATCCTGGTCAGAGGAGACAGATACCAATGACTAGAGATTATAGTGTCATTATCTGCTAAAATAAGTCATTCTGCTATACACTGAGGCTCTAATTTTCTGGAGAAGAATGGGTATATCTTACGATATTATTTAATATTGTGGTTTACTTCTCCATCATCAATAGAATCATTTGCAAATTATAAGAAAGAAGACCGTTTGCAAATCTGCCTCATTGAATATTGTTAACTTTTTCTTGATTTGAATATGTACCACGTTGATAAAGAAGTTCAAGCCATTATTTTGCCAAAAACCGCTGGACTATTGAGTATTGAAACAATTCAGGGATCCCTTCCTTGGGGGGCATTTTTAGAGACCAACACTGTATTTTTCTCCATTGGCAGCCATTTTTCTCCTTTAAGCATGTAGGTACCATTTTGATTGTATTAAGAATAAATTCTGTGGTCAGTGCAATAAAGGCTTGTAAATGCCTTGAAACATTCATTGCCCACTGCTCATCCGGGGGACCAAACAGTCTATGCTGCATAGCTCAGCCAGATGATGGTTTAGAGCAGGGGTGTCAAACTCGTGACCCACGGGCCGGATATGTCACACACTGGCCACGCCCACCCCTGGTTTAGTGAAGGGGGAAAAGTTGTGATATGTCACGTGACGACTCTGTGTTGTCGTAAATTTGACTCCCCTGGTTTAGGGGGTTGGGTGTTTCTTGATGCTGTTCCGGTCTTTTCTTTTGCTCCATTGACCTCCCAAGGGCATTCCCAGGCATGGCTGGAGGCTGGCTCTGCTATATCTTCCTCAGGAATCCCTTTGTTTCTTTTTTAGAGCTCAGTTGTTGTTTTTTAACTGAGGATTGAGTGGCTGGATATTCAGCAGACATCTTCTGTTTGAAACCACTCTATTAATAAATGCATTTGGCACGTCTTGCCACTTTGCAGAAGCCAAGGATTTTCATTTTATGTAAGCAGAGTCAAAACAGTGGTAGATGCCCCTTGTTTTTAGCTAAAATATATATTCTTTGTGTTTCTCAGCATTCCCTTAATTAACAGGGTCACATTTGTCCCAGTACTTTATAGTTTCAGTGCATTTTCCTAAATCCTTGTTGCTTAATTCTTCCCTACTCCAGTTATAATACTCCAGTTCTTTTTGTGTGTCGTGATTCAGGCTGTGCTGTAACCAGCTCTAATGTGTATGCACACACATGTGAGTGCTGAATAAGTTTTATGTTTCTTTGGTCCTTGTTTGTTTCACCCAATATGGAATAATTCCAGGGATAGAGATTTAGCTTATGATGTAGGTTCCTATAGACCTCTGTCTCTTGGATTGGATACCATAGGATATCCTACCCATGAGATTATCTTGCATGCTTTAATATCAAGACCTGTTACTTTAGCTTGGTCAGGGCCAGGCCCCAGTGGCCAGTTTCAGGTAGGATTCAGCAAGATTATGTAAACCTCTAATGTAAATAGTTTATACAATAAATAAAATATTTGAAATATGATTTGTCTCTCACTGTTTCTAAGACAGGTTGCTTTAAATAATGAAGTGGGATATGTGGGAGTAGGTGGGTAGGGAAGATACTTTCTCAGGTATTTCTTCATTCATACTTTGGTTTGCTGACTTCTGTAACGTAGTTCTACACTTCACAAGTAACAGCCAACCATACTTTTGTCACCCCTTCTAAAAATGTACATGTGCTTTGTCTGACACTGATCTAGGTTTCATTTAATTGGTTTCATATTAATTGACATTATCCCAACATTTACTGGATAATTTGCTGTCATTATGCTAAAATTAAGTTACTTTTATGATTAAAGATGAATTGCTATTATCTCATTTCCTTAGGATTGTAACCAGAGAGATTAATGTGTTTTAATCAGGAATATGTAGCTTGTATAGATAATTTAACATGCAGTTGATTTTTTTATAGTGAAAAATGAGTTCTATTTATTTTGGGACTATATTTCATGAAAAAAATATCATTTTTGAATAATAATAGTATATATATATATATATATATATATATATATATATATATATATATATATATATATATAGTTTATTTCATTTACCAACATGTGTACGCTGCCTCATCATAAGTTTCTAAGTAGTTTACAGTAAACACAATAAAACAAATACTCATAAAAACCAAACTAAATTAATAAAAGCTCTTGCTACTATTGCTATTTATGCTTCAATTTAAAACAACAATTGTTATTAAAAAATCTAAAAAAAAAAATCTATGTTGGATCCTAAAGACAAAAATCCACTATCCATTTTCTAAAGGAAGAATGAAAATGGCATTCTTTGTGTGTTCACTATTTGGAAAAGGTCATTGGCCATCACTTTTGTTATTAAGTACCAGGTATAACCTAGTGCAGTCTCATAAATAAGGACAGGTAGGCTACAATCTCTATCTTGAGGCTGTCTATCACGGCCTAAGTTTCGCTTTTTCATTTTCTTTATCTGGTCTGATGAAAAATCATAGAAAAATTAAGAAAGCACATTATTTTGTACCCTTTTGGTAGGTACTGGGAATGATGTTAAACTCAGTTACAGATAAAACTGTTGGGAGTCCAACAATAGCTAATAAGGCCTATTCAGAAATAACAACAAATATCCATATGGGCCCCTTACAGTATTTAACACAAAAACCAGTCTCTTAAATATAAGAACAAATGTAATGTGTTATAGGTAATCTGTTTAGTAACTGCCTCATTTAACAGTTGTTTGCAGTTGCAACTGTGTTTAAAAAAGTAACTTTAAAACCAATCCTTGTATTTATTACCTTTGCAGATCATAAAAAAGCTGAAGCAAGTTCATAAGCACAGCCACAGTTTCATTTAGCAACTGTTTTGCTTAATGAATGAGTTGCCATCCTAATTGTTGTTGCTACATGAGGACTACCTGTAATGTTACAACACTGTTTGCTCTGCAGACAGAATTGGGATTACAGAATAACGAGAATCATTATGTAATAATTGCGGAGCAGATTTCATCCTATTATTTACAGGAAATGTTCTGTGGTAATTCCAGAAGGCATTTTACTGTTAGCTTTGTTGGAAGACTTGGGACAGCAATATAGCCACTAGGAAGAGATCAGTAATTTAAAATGATTGCCTGATTAAAGTGATGCAAGCAAGAGTCTCAATCTAAAATAGCTTCTATTCAGTCCAGTATTTGAGATTATAAATATGAATTATGATTCTCATCTTTAAATGCTTCCATAAGAGGCCTGTACAAGGTGGTTCTCGCCTTGCCTTGCTTCCCCCTTTTTTTCCTTTCTCCTTTTCTTTTCTTCTTTTCTTTCCCGTCCCCTTCAAGTTAGTGTTCGCTCCCTGCAGTTTTTTCTTGGTAATGTTTTTGGAAGTGCCTTGTCATTGCCTCCTTCCTAGGGCTGGGTGAATGGCCCAAACTCACCCTACTGGCTTGGTGTCATAAGAATTGCTGCCTGGTGCCATAATAACCACTATATCAAATCAGCTCTGTCCCATACAGTTTATAGTTGAAGAATTAGAACTGCTGGAAGGCTTGTTTGGCTGCTTCAAAAGTTGTTCCCTGCTCTCTCCATGTATATGCATTCGCATATTTCAATGACAGTAATTGTCTGAGAATATACATGTGTATGATATACAGAGACTGTTCCCTGATACCACTAGATGACATCGCTAGGGCTCGCTGTCTTAGAAGAGTGAGGAAAATTCTCATGAAAGACTCACACCCCGGTCAGCACTTCTTTACTCTCCTACCATCAGGTAGGAGATATAGGAGCATAGCCAGCTGCACCAACAGGCTGAAGAACAGTTTCTTCCTGTGGGCTGTCAGACTTCTGAACGGAAAATAACTTCATGTCAGCATAGTATGACAGACTTGCGGGGCCGGCGCGTTGTGCAACAAGGTCATATAGTGTAATAAGACTGGGACTGGGTTAGGGACTTCTGTCCTCACTGTGAGTTGTGTTGTGGGGGGTGCACGAAGGGAGGCTCAGCCAATCTCATTGTACACATATTGTACTCTGACAATAAAGGTGATAATAATGATGACAGGATAGCTTTTAAAGCAAAAGACACAGATGCTTTATTGCTTCAAAGGTATTTCCACACACATGATGTGTGAAGCAACTCTGATAAATGCCTTGCATAGCCATAATATGTTTTCTTATACAATAAAGAAAAAGAGGAACCGTAAATTTTACCATAAAGTTAACATTGCCAAGGAGATGTACTTCAGGAGTCGCCTTATCAACACTTACATGTATATATGTTTTCTCTTTATCTAAAGCACAGCTAAGCTCATGCCTTCTGAAAGTAAAAGGAATCTCCAATTTGTTGTTTAAACAATAGCATTCCACAGTCTAATTTAGTGGGACAAAGTATGTACAATAAATGTAAAAATGTTGGCGCTTCCACCATCATGACTTTTTGACTCTCTGTGGATGCCTTTGAATATGGAAAACTAAACTAATTCTGAAGATAAAATGCTACAGATCTCTGTAATCTAAGATGAGGACGAAAACAAATGCAAGTGGAACTCAGTCCTATAAAAAACGTAATCACAAAAGACAAACACATGTCTTGGACTTAAAGCAGTGGAAAAAAGACATCCTGTTATGACTCAGGAAGCTTCAGTGACCTCTCTTGAGGTTTTGTTCCTTATGGCTGGCTAACTGCTAAATAAGTTACAGATGGTTGGGCCATTTGAAGCAATTTTCTTCCCTACAGTACTTCGCCAATGAGGAGTGTCTATGTCAGATCAGGAAAGCAATGTAGACTTCGTGAGAAACTTTTGCCTTGCCAGGATAACTATTTGATTACTTTTCCCTTAGGAGTGGCTGCTGGCATACTGTCTTGCAAAGTGGGTTTTAATTTTTTTCTCTTACAAGCACTTCAGGTTTTGTTAAGCCATCTCCTTTTAAATTAACTGAAGGAAATCTAAAGCCAATCACAGAAAAGATCGTGAGGGAGACTAAGAGGAACTGCCAGCTTTGTGTATTTATCAAGGTCGTGAGAGGCATCTGGTACGTCAGAGGTAGCTGAAGTTATGAGGCATCTGAACTAGAACATATTAAACTATATTGCTGCCCACATACTTGGGAATTATGATTTATTACGATGCTCATATAAGGAAATGGTTTATACTGTTGCTGCTCAGAATTGGTAGGTAGGATGACATAATAAAGCCTATAAAGAGCCCATTTCATTTTGTAAGTTTAAATTTCAGACAAAACAATTCAAGAAAGTCTGCCTAGGTCATGAGTTCTTCAAAGAGTTCTAATCTTATCTTGGACTAAGCATTGAGGGTCCTTGCATGTTCCTTGGCTGGTTATATTTGAGCTTGCAGTAAGCCTAAACATCTATGAGCTACTCTGTTTCCATAGGACGTATGTAGCACATAATTCCTGGAATTCCTGGAACTCTGACCCAGCCTTTGCAAAATGATACAGAGTTTGAATTTAGGCTTTACTCAAGAGTTGGGATTTGCTTCTGCAACAATTTGTCACAAATTGTGGAAAATAGGATGTCTTCCTATTTTTTTACACTGGCAATCTGCAGAGCAAAATATTTTCAGAAAAAATTTATATGCCCCCATTGCATCCTTCACTGAAAAGCAGTATTCAACGCTCTGTTTCATGATTTATGATTTATGTTGATTTGTCTACAGGTAGTCACAGGTTACAACAATAATTGGAACTGGAATTTGTGTTGCTGCGTGATGCAGTTATAAACCAGGACATCAACATCACATTGTTTAGCCACAGCAACCTGGCAGTTCTATTTGCCATTGTAACCCCAGGGCGGTGCAGGTTAACTGGGAAGAGCCAGGAGTCCCAGAAAAGGACTGGGGAGGTGTAAGACATAAGTAAAACTGGACAACACCATTGAAAGAAAAATAAAATTAAACACAACAGACCATACAATAATCTCTATACAATTTAAAAATGTAAATACCCCATTACTCTCAGCCATTAAATTCCACAAAAATCTTATGACTCTGCATTCAAACTCAAAACTGCACTTGGATAAAAACTGTTCTTAAATCTAGTCGTCCTTGTTCTTAATACCCTGAATCTCCTTCTCGATGGTAATGTCCCGGATGAGAGGAGTCATTCAATATATTAAATATCTTCCTCTTACATCTATTCCTATACAGTTCTTCCAAAGAGGGGAGTGAGCAGCCAATGATGTTTTGGGCCATCTTAATCACCCTCTGAATTGTGGGTGGGTGGGTGTTACAAAGGGTTGGTGGGGGCTATGGATAGGCCAGTGGGGGCCATGGGTGGGCACTATGGAGTATGCGGGGTTGGTGGACATCATGGGCAGGCACTATGGAGCATGGGTGTACTGTCAGGGATTCCAGGGTGATGGGGTATGTGTCAGTGGTGGGATTCAACTTTTTTTACTACTGGTTCTGTGGACTGGCTTGGTGGGCGTGGTGTGGCTTGGTGGGCATGGCAGGGGAAGGCTACTGTAAAATCCCCATTCCCTCCCCACTCCTGGG